ACAATACAAATGCCGCAAGTCCATACGCTTGGAAATTTTGCCTCAAAATCCTCAACTAGACCTACGTTATCCCAATGCTAAAAAAGAATACAACATATAGAGTCTTGTCACCCTATGACGAAGCATCTATAGCATTTTGAAGCAAGTTGGAAAGCATTCCTTCTCTACATACTAAATGCCCCTCCGAGCTCCAGATGTCCTCAACTAACCAGCATTTAATAAACAATTCTCCCAAAAGATAAGGCTTCTTATAGCTCCAAAGTTCCTTCACAACTTTGTACAAAAACAGATGAAATATATACATATCTATCGTCCATGGGCTATAAGCGTCCATGCCAAGTTCCAAAATCATTTTTTCCAATTCAAATCTCAAAAACAGTAAGTAATTCCACTCCATCCTAAAGAATTCCGCAAATATATATATATATATATATATATATATATATATATATATATATATATATATATATATATATATATATATATATATATATATATTAAGATGTTAATAGAGTAATTAAAGCTCCAATTTAGCACTAACCTAGTCTGTTAGATAGAATTTACAATCCTATATGAAGGAAAAGTTCTATTCTCGATAAAAAGTTAATAATCAACATATTGATCAAGATTACGAACAAGTGAATCTTAAAATGGAAAAAAAATGTTCGGATAGAAAAGAAAATACCCAGGATCGCGATTTAACATGTCGCAGATCTCGATGTTCATGGCCCAATCTGGCCCGATTAGCATGTCGCTAGTGGCCCTTTCCACCATAGAATTCACCATGTTTGCTCCAAGTTCAACCCTATAAACGATCGAAAATCAATCGGTGTCTGAGGACCGGTTCACTTTTCAGGCAAGATCAATAAAATTTCCGACCGCCGTCAAATACTCGTAGATCATATTCAGAGCAGTAAATTTGAAAAAATTATAATGAAAAATGTATCAAACAGTCCTCAAAACATATTAATCTCTCTCTCTCCCCCTTCAACCGATTGGACTCTCCACTATAGCCAATACTTTCTCCCTCTATATCGCATCTTTCTCTCTCTATATCTATTGTTTTGCTCTGTGATCGCAATTTTCTTCTTTTTTTTCTGCTGTTAGGGATGGAAATTATTTTAAAATATAAGAAAAAAGGAATAAAATGTGGAAAGTTTAACAACTACAAGCTGACACGTGTAAGTCAAATATGCCCCGAATTGGCGTACTGGGTTACAGTATTTTTGGTGTTCATGACGTTGCCGTGGCCGACCATTTTGATCCAACGGTCAACATATTTTTTTATGATAATCAACGGTCAACCTTGTTGGGGAATGGTTCTTTAGTGGCCCAAGTTATCATCACTTGTAAATTTTTGTATCTTCTAGAAACAATTTGATTTAATTAATTAAGAAAAATATAAAACTTGAGCTTCGAGAAAATCACATTTTCTTTTGGTTATGTAGAAGAATTATTAATCTATTCTATATAGTAAAAGAATTAATTTAAGAGAAGGAGTGTTTAAGAAATTTTTCTCTTCTAAATCATTTTTTTATAATTTAAAATTATTTATTTGGTTCAATTGAATTCTAACATATATTACTACTTTCAATTTTGAAAAAAGAAAAAAAAAATCATTTAAGAGTATATTGGGAGTAATTCGTGCCTAAAGATATAGTACAATACAATATGAAACAATCAAATAAAATTATTAAAATTTATTTTATTTTATATTATAAATTCCGACCCCATAGATTTATGTCTTTATGCCATCTGCCCTATTATTAAAAGTGCTGCAGTAGAACAATGATTCATTGTTTGTAGACTATCTTTGACCATTGAAAAGAGTAGAACAAACAAAATAGGCATCACTTTTGGCAAGGCAACGGCTTAGCTTAGGCAACACCGGAACAAGAACGCAAGAAGATGCTTTATTAAACCAAGTAAACTTGGTACATTCCCGCTGATAATACTATTTGTATATAATTTATTATAATTATTATATTGACAATAAGTTCAAATTAATATTAGAACTCATTGTTAGGACTGAAAAAATTAATATAATTTAATAACCTATATATGTGTCAAGTGATATAATTTCATAGCAAAAGTCTAATTAATATGGTCACAATAATTCTATTGGACTGTATCATTGTTATATTATTATTTCAACAAATTATATAAATTGTTTAAGTCTCGATAACATTACTCATAATTAATTAAACAATAAATAAATTCCAAATAACATTGACTATTTTGGTTGAGTTAACTTTTCATCCTGAACCCCAATGATTAGCTAAAGCCGTTGTCCGTCACTCAATAGATTTCTTAAGTTGACATTATTCGAGAGTTTGATACTCCACAGAATGAATATATTCATTTGGGTCATCTCCTCTAAATTTAACCCTTATGGGTTTATTTGATTGTCGTATTAAAAATAGATGAATTATATAAAATAATTCAATCTAATATAATATAACAGGACAAAAGACAAGGTTAAATAAGGTATTAGAATAATACGTAATTTTATCTAATGTTTAGCAATACACAATATAAACGATGGATAGTAGTTATGTAATCCAATAAATTGTTTGGTTAGAAATTATTTCATTGTATTAATGTTGAATTAACAAAAATATACTTAATCAGTGTTTGTAATATTGATGACAATTTGATTTTATATGTTGAAGAGTTATAATAGTAACTGCGTAAAATAATATATTTGAGTTTGATTATAATATCATCTCTCTTAGTGATATTAAAATACTTCTATAATACAAATTTATCGTATAAAAAATATACGATTAGTATACATTTTTGAAATTAATACGGTATCAAATTTACTTACCAAACAAAATATTAAATTTGATTAAATAAAAAATAATATAATCTAATATTTAATCTTCTCATAATAAATCTATCAAACGAGTCCTACGTCTATAAAAAAGACCTTGTGCATGAATCCAAATTGATTACCGATCACAGGTCCAAATGGGCTCGGTCGGAGGGGGGAGAGGGGTGGGTCCTGGTTTATTAGAAAAAAAACAATTCTTCTCATCCTGTCCATGTCACACTGGACCACATAAAGGACCAAATTCAAACTCGTCAAAAAGGTTTGAAGCTATGGGAGGGTTTGAAAGCTCGACAGCTCATCGAACCATGATCGGTAACGTGGAGATCAGTAGACAAGGCTGTGGCTCTTGGCTTTTGTCCACCTTAAATTCGTATTCAATGTAACGTTGAGAGGGTGTCATTATTACTATCTCATCATTCAATAAAAAAATAACAAATAAACTCATAAATTCCACACAATTCAATGATCATTCCTCCATGTAAAGCTAATAACCATTCTGTATAGGGTAATAGGGTTCACCTTACCTATTCAATTATATTATATTTTTATTAAATATTAACACTATGTAATAATAATAATATTGTGTAACCGTTATTGTCAATATTAGTTCACCAAAAGACTATGAGATGGCCCGCCAAGCAGGCCAATTGGCCCATCAAATTTATTACTTTCATTTAAAAATTAAAATAACATGACATTAGGATATGGACCCATCGAAAATCCACCAAAGACTCGTCAAGACCGGCCTAATGCGCTTGTCGCTTCTCATGTGACAAGAATATTGTGTAGTTTTGAATTTACAAAATTGCAGTTGGGATTAGAGCCTCATATCGGTCATTTCTATGAAATTGATGCATTATGCTATGAAAACTCGGGTAATCATACAATGATTTAAATAGAATTAAAAAATATAATCAAATGGCGTGATACTGACGTGATAATGACTAATTAAGACTAAGAGTGGCAGTGGACCGAGGCAGGGGCGAAGGGAGTAATCTCTATCCCTTTACCCGCTTCAAAAATATTCGTTCACCCCCAATCCACCCCTGTTAACTGGAAAAATTTTGATCCCTGTCCCGGTCCTCACCACTATCTCTACCCATAACAATTAATTTTTATAATTTTAAAAAAAAAATTAAAAAAAATCATAAAATCTCATAAATAGATTTGTAAAAAAGATAAAAATTCATTATATAACAAATAGATTAAACATAAAAACTCACAAAAATAATATATATAATAAATTTCACTTAATTATTTTATTTATTATATATACATTACGAGCTTAATGAGTCGGAGAGGAGAGGGGCGAAGGCAAGACATGGATGAATTTTAGTTCATCCCCACACAAGTTTATACGAGTATTTTTGTAAACGTCCACCGTCTAATATGTATAATTCATCTCTGATTCAAACGAGATAAGTTTAAATAATACATATTTTTTTCCGGTCCACTGCCATCTTTAGTTAGAATTTGAAAATTGATGAGAGATTCACAGGTTTGGCTCCTCTCCAATTACAAAATATAATTGAAGGATTCTCCAATTTATTTTACATGGTGATGATCTATCCAAGTCAATAAATCATGTCTAACTTAAATTATTTAAAATTTCAAAATACACATTTGAATTTAAGATTTCAAAATACACATTTGAATTTAAGATTTGTTGACGTGGATATATCCTCATAATAAAAAAATGAATTGGAAGATCCCCAATTATTTGAAATTGAAGAGGAGCATAACCCGAGATTAAAGGGCCGTTTGGAACAATATGGCTGGCTTCTTTTTTTCTTTTGTTGTTTGCTTTCCCCACACTCTTAAGAAACTGTTGAAGATTCTGAAGTATCTCATTGACAATACTGAATTCCAAGTGAACTATTCCAAACTGGCCCTAATCCCTGAGTATGTTGTTTGAAACGAACTTTCACTGTAACAGAATTATCTTATGACAAGGTCTACAAATAGACGGCAGAGTACACAGATTTTGATAAGACACTAAAGCCTGACCACATCACACACATTGGAGAAGGGAACACAATGTTTCTGGTTATATAGCCCCTGTTTCCTATAACGACCAATGAATTTTAGTGCTCACTATATGCAGAGATTGTGTTTTAAAGTAACTCAAAGGGGCCAGTTTAGAGGTTGAAAGAAAAGGAAATGGGTTCCATTGATGCCAGAGATTCATTTTAACTAGTTGTTGCACACAGATGAGTATATTTTGTCACCACAGAAGTTTATTATTCTTACCCTGTAGAGATGGTTGATAGAAACACAAAAATACTCGAATTTTTAATTTTGTTACAAATAATTGGCTCGACTTACAGAATGTTTTGTTGGATAGAACCGGGTTCAACTTCATGGCATGCAAGCATTGAGTAGTACCATGTCAACTTTGTACCAGTATAATAAATTCCTCTCACCACACGGAGATGTAGAAAGCTACTGGCTGCTTAATAAGGAACAGGAACTCGGACAGTCGATGGTCCAGATTTCATGTCCTCCATGACAAGATTTAGGAGAGCTTCAGACACAGGACCTTCTTTGCCTAGAAGAAAGCAAGTATTGCATACTTTAAACATACAAGCCAAAGAATAATTATCAAGCCCCAGCCAAACAATCATCTATGTAAAATTGATTTCTACAGATAACATTGAGAGAAATAATATGAACTATGCAACTAGACTTCCATAACAGTTGCCATAGAGTGATATCTAATGCATGTTCAACATGTATGGTGACGGTGGGTAGACTAAGGTAAAAATATAGGGCATGCACTTTTGCTTTAGCAAGGAAACAATATTTCTTTCAACCCAAATCCCATAAAAGAATCGGCTTCCACTTTTTAAGCTGGGAGGAAATGAAGATTCTTCATTTACAGTAATTAAACTAGCTAGATGAATTAGAGACCATGGGTTCCAAAAATTTACCGAAGAACAGACCTCGAGTAGATAATTTTATTCCACCCAAAGTAGATAAACAGAGTGTTATTGAAGTGTTAAACATAACAAATACTAGTAAAGAAGAAAAGTAAGCTCTCAACAGATGTTGGACGCTAGACTGGATTTCAGGGACTTCAGTAGAAGGATCTCATACCATGATTTTTCAGGTTATCTCAAAATGGGTTAAAAGGTCAAGCTGAAAATTAACATTTATATTAGACGTTTTTGCCGATTGATGTCAAACTAATCTAATGTACACATAACCATATGAACGTCCTAAAACACATTATTTTGAAGGATAAGAAAAACGTGAAAGAAAGTTCTTACCGTCACCAATAATCTGTTCATCCCACTGCAATACAGAACGGACAAGAACACCACTTCCTATTAGCATCATCTCATCTGCTCTTTTGCCTTCTTCCAGAGTCACATCTCCTACTCTTATCCCCTGCAGCTTTCCTTCGCTCACCAGGCTTTCTGCGAGGACCAAAACTCTACTAGCTGTGCAGCCACTAAGGATTTTGTCAAAACGAGGCATCAGAAGTTCCTTTTCCTTAGTCACAAAAGCCACATTCATGTTAGGGCCTTCAGCAATAAACCCATCATTATCTAACCAAATTGCTGCATACCCACCATTTTCTTCAGCCTCCATCTTTGTAAGTGCATTTGGAAGGTAATTTACACTTTTCATGATAGCAAATTGTGGGGGCTTTATTGGGATCAATGTAGTAACTACTTTGATGCCCTTGTGATCAGATGGTGATTGATCTTGGATTACAATGGCGTAAAGAGCTGATTGATGACATCCAGCTGGAGAAAGTTGGAAGTCACCAGGTCCTGCTGAAAGCCAGTATCTTAGGGATCCTTTTCTGCACTTGGAAGCACTCACAGTTTGTATGAGTATTCTTCTTATGGTTTCCCTATCAAATGGGGGTTTGATTTTGGCCATGATGGCTGACCTTAGGAAGCGATCTAGGTGTTGGTCCAGCTCGTAGAGATATCTGGAAGTCGAGAAAAGAGAAAAGAAGTGTTACCAGAGATTCAGTAACTCTTTAGTAAGTTTTCTTATCTTTTATACCACAAGAGGTCCTGAGGAAAAATGGCCAAGGCTAGCACAAGCAAGCTCCCCTAGTTCCATTCGGAGCCATAGACAGTCAAGCAAATTCCAATCCACGAGAACATTTGATTTATAGACAACATCCTTGTTGTAAAAGTCATAATTTGGATATTGGTCCACAAAGGCCTTTTTATCAATGTTGATAATTGGATTTCCCAATGAAATGAATGAGTTCACATTGTGGGGGTGATGAAAGGCGCAACGTCAAAATTAAAGAAGAAACAATTCCATTTTTTTTCTGCAAACCGCTATGGTTTTCAGGTTATTTTTCAAAAAAAGCGTAAATACACTTATTTGATGAAATGCCTTAGTTGATTGTATTTGAGTTCTATTTTTATGCAAATTGCTATGGTTTTCAGGTTATTTTTCAGAACACGCATAAATAAACTTATCAAAGGGCTTAGTTGATTGTGCTTGAATGGATCTTTTTTTTCCTAATGCAATGTGAGAGAAAACCTTGCCACATGCTTCAACAGTCAATAGCTTACATCTTTGATCATTAGGAAACATGCTTAGATTGCATTTAGATTCTACGCTGCACAAGATAGATAAGAAGCAAACTCCTGAATGTGGCAAGATGCAAAAGAAAAAGCTCATAACTCAGACACCTATTCCAAGGAATATTTATATGATGCTACAGAATCTTGAATTGGGTAAGAAAAGCAGAATACAGTTTAAGATGCATTTGTGATAACAATATAATTGGATTGCTCGAAATGAGAAGCCAGAATCACTTACCCATCCATTATTGCTGCAGTATCAAAAACTCCGTGTCCTCTATGGACCATGTGGTCATCCATGGGGATCACCATGGCTGCAGGATCGGTTGTGATACCGCCAAAAATGCTAGAGTACATAGCCAAATATTGCTGCTTGCTTTTGTAACTTTCTCGAATTGTCCTCAGCCTTTCAATAGCCTTAACAGAAACACAATATTCAGCAACATGACCATTACTGAATCACTAGTTACTCGTTTTTCTGTATCATGATCTAGAAGCCAAAAGTTTAAAACAGTATGCTAAAATCACACAATGATCACTGACACATATATAGTGTATAAATGCCGAGTTAAACAAATTAGTGAACTTTTATACAGCATGATCAAGCATTTGGTGTGAAAACTTCTTCCTATATCGTTTCAATTGTCTTCTTTGTCCTCCTTTTCCTTGTTCTATTTCTTTTAATATTTTCAAGATGGCTAATATATTTATCTTGCATTCAAAACGAAGGGACGCATAGGAATTGTACAGTATCACATTTTTCAATACATTAACATGTGTGTATATATAGAAAGGAGAAAGAAAATGACCTCTGAGCAAGAAAGAAGAGGAACATCTGATATTTGAGTACAATCTGCGACCACAAAGTCTAACGTTAGTCCGTTGTTTTTGTAAGAAAAATTCAATATTATTTTCCTGCATATTCCTAAAAAATAAACTGCAAATAAAACCCAGTAATATAATCAATTTGACTCTGGGTTTCTGCCTAAGGATTATGCATCACATAAGATCAAACAAGTGATTGTAAAAACTATAGAAAACTGTTTAATTCTTATTCAACTCATTAAGGAGCTAAGTAGAATAAAATGACAACTTACTAATAGAAGCTTCAACTTGATTGGAATTTTTGAGAACATTTGATCGTCTCAGATAACTTTCAACAAATCCAGGTTGACAAAATCGAGACCCAAGCCTCCAAAATGAAAGATTTCGAGAAGTAACATGTGGGTTTGGTGATTGATCACCGAGTTTTAGCGGAACTTGTGAGGTTCCCGAGATGGGTGTATTGAAACATGAGAGAGAAGCCATGGAATTTGGTCTGTGTGAGTTTTATGAAACTGTGAGCTCGAAGTTTTCTATAACGGAGGAACAAATTGATGTCCTTTTAGTAGTTAAATCACTCCAAGAAGAGAGAACAAACAGAACAAATCATTTCTCTAATAATAAATTAAAGGAAGAATTACACTTAATCCCTTTAAAATTTGTTATTTAATCACTCAGACCCCTAATATTTAAAATATTATAAACAAACCTCTAAAATTTGTACGTGCACAACAATTAGATCCTTGTTATCAAATATCCGTTAGTAAATTACACTCAGACCTTTTAAAATTTATAGGCGTATAATATTTAGACTCCCTCAAGTTTAAAATATTACACTTAAATAAAAAATACTCTAATCAAAGATAAAATGTCAATATTTTATATTTTAAAATCAAAATTTATGTTGTATTGTATCATTTATTGAAATAAAATAAAAAATCAAAGTCAATTTTTAAAAAAAAATCATAATTAGGATACAATTATACTATCTATTGAAATAAAACTTAAAAATCAAACAAATAGTCTAAGTCATTCATAATAGAATATGAATTTTGCAACCAATAATTATATTAAATATTCTATTATGTCATTTATTGAAATAAAATCAAAAATAAAAATCTAATTTTTCTTTAAAAAGTATAATTAGTATACAATTATATTATTTATTAGAATAAAACTAATAAATTAAATAAGGGATTAAACTATAATTGACATAATATATTTTGGGGTAATTTGGTCATTTAAATGAACAAATCAAATTCTAATAGATAATATAATTGTATATTAATTACGATTTTTTTTAAAAAAATTATATTTTTATTTTTAATTTTATTTCAATAAATATCATAATATAACATAAATTTTGGTTGTAAAATTTAAAATATTTGATATTTTATTTTTGATTAAAGTATTATTGTTCTAAATATAACACTTTTAAACTTGAACAGTCTAACTATTACACGACTACAAATTTCGAAGGATTTAGATGTAATTTACTAATAGATATACAAACGAACATTGATGGAAGAGTTTAAGTGTTACACACATACAAATTTTAAGGTCTTGTGTGTAATATTTTAAAGGAAAAAATGTGAAAAGGTACACCCTTTTCATACTTATTTATGTCAAAGTACCTCAATAGAAAATATATGTTTATAAGTACCTTTATGTGTAAATATTTTGTGAAGATGTACGCTTTTGTTGAATTATAATTTTTTCTCTTACTAAATTACCCTTTTCCTTTATTAATGGGAGACAAATATAACAGTTATATAAGGATTCAGTTTCCTAATTTTATGGTATATTTTTTTAAAATTTTAATTTACCTATTCATCTATAGTTGAACAACTATTTATTAAAACATTCATTCTATATTTATTCTTCTATCATTCAAATCGAAAATATCTTTCAATGACACTCTCCCACCAATCAATGCCATCATACTATAAACTAAAATGTCACAGTGATACATTCGAATGACAATAGTACCAGCAATGACACATTGTTACTATCCAAAATTCACACTGTTACCATCCAAGAAGTCACACTATATTTATATTTTTTTTATTTATGTCTTCCCTATATTTATATAATTTTTTTATTTTTTTTTATAAATCGTAATGAGGAATATATGTTTTCGCTTTATATAATACTATTGATCGTTACGAGTATTTTTTTTTTCATAAATATTTTAAATTTAAATTTTGTATAGTGGTACATGTCACACTGTTACAAGTTAATGTCACATTGATACAAGTCAATGTCACACTAGAAGAGGTGTCAATGATGTTTTTGATAATAAAAAGAGTATACTTAAAGATATAATAAACTAGAAGAGATGTGGTTGAAATTTGTCCAAAAAATATTACACCTCTTGAACGCTGCCTCCGTGCAAGCTTTAAAGAAGATGAATCCTCTCAGGACCCGCCTTTTTCATTTTCATGTATAGACTCATGGTGGTTTCTACAATTCACGATCCTTCTTTGCGGTCCACCTCAACATCAAGAATGTTCTAAACCTTGTGTTTCAAGTCCTTAGAGAGTTTTGTGATCTCAATGAGTCCTCTTGATCGGAAACAAAAGGAGTTGGACTCCATTGATACTTTGATCAAGAGTTGATTTTTTAATAAGAGAAAATCTTCTGGAATTGGTTTTTCAGTAAGAGAAAATCGTCTAGATCCATTGGAATTAGGACGTTTTGAAAAAGAATGGAGGTTTTAGAAAAGTTTTTTTATCAATCTTAGACTAATTATGGTTTCGACGATATTGAAGGATTTTTATGAGTAATAGTTGATATCCTTGATATTTTGGTTGTGGAGGCAAAAATATAGGAATCGGTTCCTATTTTACTGAAGGGGGTATTTTAGAGATTTGTTAAGGGTTGTGTAACTTTTTGCCCTATATTTTTAAAAGTGGTATTTTTTGCTCTATAATTTTAAAAAAGGCACCGGCACCCTTAAAACCCCAAAAAATAAGCTCAAAACCAAATAAACCCGATATTTAGCCAGCTCAAAACCCCCAAATCCCCAAACCCATTATCTACCCCGAGATAGTAGTGGGGCGGTTGCGATGGTGGTGGCGGCAGTGGTGGTAGAGATAGTGGTGGAGTAGTTTCAAATATTATTTTTTTAAAGTATTTATGAGAAATAATTTTTATAAGTACTTTTAAAAAGTCACTTCAAACACACCCTTATGCCCCTATTTTTTCTATTAAATATAGGGTGTTAATATTAACCGTTAGATTAACTTTAAATTAAAATTTAAAACGATCTGAACTGTAAAAAATAAAAATTATTTTGTTTATCTTTTGAAATTTGAATTGTACCAAGAGAGTGGAACCAAAAAAAAAGAAAAAAGAAAGAATACAAGGAGAGATAAACGAAGAATCAGTAACTTTTACAAAAAATAATACAATGTATAATGGATGATCCATCATGTTAGGCATTGTTGATTTCTCGTTGTTTCTTCTTACTCAACATTATTCATAATTGTTTCGATACTTAATCAAATTAACTAATGAAAAAAGTATTTCTTATCAAAAAAACAAAAGAAGTACGAAAAATGTGGCTCGAACTTTCTAAATTTAGAGGTCAAAACAATTATATTGTTTAAGTAATAACATCTCACATTAAGGGGAAAGACGTTTGCAATTCAAAACTACTTAGTAGAGAAAATAGAAGACTGAGAATTTTAGAAATTTACCAAAAACTTTGAGAAAAACCAAAAAACTGAAAAACACGGGCAAGAATATAATTTTCCGTATATGCACTGGTAATTTTTTTTAAGACGCATCTAGTACCATTTGGCCTTATTTTAGTTAACTTGGTATGGCTGCTACTGCCAAAATGGAACTTACCATCGTCATTTATCATTAAACGGAAATGAGTCGTCCAATTGTGTAGGTGAAAATATGGTAGAGACAAGAAGGAATCGTAAACCCGACATCCTAAATTAAAAATTTGATAACTCTCTAAGATTCAAGTTATGAGAAATTATTTTTCATGAATTTCTTAGTCACAACGAGGATGATCTATATTTGACCGAACTGTAGAAAAAATTAATCGAGGTGCACGTTAATTGGTACAGACAATCGTGACCATAATCCAAAAAAAAAAAATAGACAAATTGGACTCCAAAGATTCATCGGAACGCTGCCGCTGCTGTATACATTTCACTATTTTTATAAGCAATTTTCATTTTGTCAGCCACTTTACACGACAATACATTACATCGAAGTGACAATACTTTTTTTTTTTTAGGATAAATGAAATTTGAAGTAAGATATGCGTACTGGACTTCTTTAGCAACTCCAAACTTTTATTCAACCATTTTTTTATACCCTAAATAGTATTTAGACACGTACGTTATGTAAATCCCGTGCAATAATATTATTTAAATATATACTTTATGTTTCCGTGCATTACGCGGCACTGAACTATATTAATTCATTTTTAAATCCTATATTTCAAGTTGGATGCTTACTCATCAATCAACACTAATTGTTTTGTATTAGACCATCTTCAACTAATGATTATTTAAAATTTTAATTTAATATAAAGTACTCAAATTGACAAATTTAAATTAAAAAGAGAACAAACTCAAATTTAATAAACTATTTGTTACGGAGGGAATATGAGGGGATAGGAAATAGGGAGAGAGAGAGGAAAGAAACACCTTTTATCATTTGGTTTGAAAGGAAAAAGTGGACGGAAAGAGAATCTATCCCACCCACCAATTTTAATCCCTCTAAAAATGGGCGAAAAATGGAGAGAGAAGCTGGACACGATGAATAGAGTTATTTAATCTACTTTTACACCCTTTAGTTTATGTTTTTCCATCCACTATGCAAATCAAAAGATGAAATCCATATATAAAAGTAATAAATGTTGACACCTGTATTTTTGTTGCCGCACAACTTATGCTAGAGTACTTCAATACAAGGGTATTTATGGTATTTAGTAGACAATAATTTTCCTTTACATTTTTTTCTCAAACCAAATAAAATAATAAAAAGCTTGAAACTTGTTTTTAGTCTATTTTTACTCAAATTTAAATTTAACTGAATAATTGGATAAGAATCGAATATGTTGTTAGTAGTAACAATGACAGGGACACACGTTATCATAGTGTACAACTGTATTGTGTTTAGTACGCGATAATACTTTTATATGGGAATAAAATGAAAGTTAGAATAGAATAAACATATGAATAGAATGGAATCTACATTTATCGTTACAATGTTTAGTAACAATTAAGATTAAATATTGGAATATAATACAAAATTCACTTCAATATTTTAATAATCCCCGACCCTAACATCAGATCCCGAAACCAAATCTTGACTCGAACCCCGACCCAGCCCCAGAATAGAGGTGGAATGGTGGTGGTGGTAGTAACAGTAGTTGAGAATGAAAAATACTACAAAATATTTAGGAAGTAATGTTATATTTATCACATCATTTACCGAAATATTGTATTCTAAATAAAAAGTCAAAATTCTATGCATTGAATATTTGACGAATATTAATCGATTTCGCTAATCCAACCACCACACTGATTTAAGATACAAAATTTAATAAATAATTTAATAAGTATAGCATTCTAGACATTCCATTAATATATACCAAACATGAAACGGACAATACTAAAGTAATAGTCATTGGAATTCATTAATTCCCATGCTTCACATTATATACAACTAATACAGCAAAGCCTAAACCAAACTGATGATGACAAGTCAGCAGATCGATTAACGCTTCTTGTAGCATATGAAGTTAGAATAGAATTACTAAAGTTTGTTTTTTTTTTCCTTCTCCTTTTTTGGTGGTAAAAACTAATTCAAATAAAATAAAGGGTTAATTGCACTAAAAGTCCCCAAAATATGGAGTTTGTTTCATTTTGATCTCTAATATTTCAATTGCATCATTTTGATCCCTAAAGTATTGAATATGTTTATATATAGTTCCTCAAGCAGATATTGTTTAGATTGCTAACAATTTTTTTATCATAAACTTGTCACATAATACCTAAATATAGACCAAAAAATAATTTTAATAGCTCTTAAATAAAATTTAGGTAGCTCTTGATAAAAAAATGTGTAATATGGTTAGTTTTTGACCAAAATTTGGATAGCTCATGATCAAAATTATGTAATTTAGATAACTATTTAACAAAATTTGAGTAAAAATTTGATCAAGAGTTATTCAAATTATTTTTTTATCTATATTTGAGTATTACGTGACATGTTTATGATAAAAAAATTATTAGTAATCTGTACACTATTTGCGTAAGGGATCATATAAAAACATATTTAATATTTTATGTACTAAAATGATGCAATTAAAACATTTGAGATTAAAATCAGACAAATTCTATTCTTTGAAGACCTTCTTCATAATTAATTCTAAAATAAAATAAAACTTTAATTTCACCGCCTTACTGATGATAGCACGAAGGTATAAACTAACGCAGAATCCGTGAAAAGCAACCAGCTGTAAATCGACTCATCACTCTCCAAATCACCTCTTCAAAAACCCTAGTTCTTCGATTCGTGTTCAACTCTCTGAAATCTAGGGCTTGTTCATCTACATATGTAGTATATTCAGAAATATAGTTGTATATTGTTTTGCAATGGCAGTTCTTGGGGATGCGCTTCGGCAAGCCTTTATGCCGAAGCACGAGTACCAGAGTCTTCGAGAGGAAGATAGAGCTTGGCTAAGATTGCAGAGACCCTTTTTGCTTTGTATTTTGGTATTAATTGCACTTGGAATTGTGATTTCCACGTTGATTAGCTTGAATATAGTGTTTCCGAAGGATAATGGAAAGAGGCCGTTCTGTAGTAATTTTCGGCTTCAGCCGCTCTCGATTAATGTTAGCGCCACTCGTGGTGGTGGAGGAAATGGAGGTGATTCGGATCTTTTTCCGGGGGCGTTTTATTTGACGGATCAGGAAACCGTGAATTATTACTGGATGGTTGTGTTCGTTCCCTCGGCTATGGTTTTCCTGGCCTCGGCCATTTATCTTGTTTCAGGTTAGGAGATTTTATGCTCTTTTGTTGACTGTGGATGATGTTTTGGTGAACTGTTCAATTTTTTCCTGATTTTACGTCACCTTTTGTGGATTATGTAAGAAATGAAATGTGGTTGACGACAAAAATTTTAATCCATTTAATTCGAATGGAATGTGTTTCTGCTTGAGAACAAGATATCCTAGAAATATTTATGCGAAGTTTTTCTTAGCTGCATTTATTAGGGTGTTATTCTTTGCTGGGACCACATGTGTTTGTATACAAAAGTATGTAGGGTTTAGAATTCAGGGATTTCACCAGTGAATGTTATAGTTTGGAAATCTATTCGTAGCTGGGTATTAATCGATGTGGGTACATAGTTAAGATGTTTTAGCAAATGCAAGATAGGGTATTTATTTCGCCCTATTTTTTTACACTGTCCAAATATATACTTCTCAACATAGTTGTTTTGTTTACTGTCACAAAATTGTCATTGTGATTTGAGAAATTGGACATTGTGTACATGTTATTGACAAAAATAATTGATTGTTGATGAGTTCTGAAAAAGCACTTTAACTATTGGATTGAGAAATTGCCAATTGAAGCACCGTGTACAGTGAAGTGAAAAGAGTGGTAGAAACAGGAGCATACAGTGTGATCTAAGAAAACTATAGGAGATTCTCAAAATGCGGAATGTGTTGGTCTGAAATGAGATGTTCTTAAATTAACAAACATTGCAGATAAGATGACAGATATGTTGATTTCTTCACTAAAACCTGGTATGACAACACTGCAGTTATTGCTAGTTGGCTTTGGAAATTCAAGTGAAAGATTAAGTCAAGAAAGTGTGAGCACTATTGCATTTTGCACTTTTTTGGCGCCGCCCTACATTGGAAGAGAGAGATTTTCTATATAAAGGGTTGATGGGATGGATTAATTATCGCATCCTTGTGCCTCAAATAAATACACCTTAAAGGGAATTGGTAGCACATATTTATTCCTTACTTTGCTTACCATTTTAGTTCACATTGGAAGTGCTATTTTTGCTCTCACTCCAATCGTGGAAGTTAAGTTTTGGTGCATTATGCAACTACTTAAGTAAGAGATGGATATGCAATAATGCTGTGGGTATTGAATTCATGTGGGTTGATGCCTGATACATCTGAATGCTATGCTATATTCATTTATCTCACTTTGCAAGATTGGTGTGATTGTATGACTTTAGATATAGTCTTAATAAGGAAAAGTAAATCATAAATCTGAACTCTGAACAATGTTAGGAACCGAATGGAGCACATGGTATTTGTTCTATTGGGCTAGAAGTGTATTAGTTTGTCATGAGTTGGGGTTTCAGTTATGGTTACTTTTTTATTATTAGCTTTTCTAATTTCTGTAAGTGATTTAGGATTTTTCCTAATCTCGTGGAACCTACTAGGTCCTATAATTCAAGGCGTAATTGAAATGAGAGATTCATTTGATGAAGCATCATCAATTGAGCTTTCTCCCATAACCTTGTGTCTGCACCAGGTTTGACCTTTCTCCCCAAATTAAGTTTCTAAACAAATTCTACATAGAGTTTGAAGATTATTAATGGAGATTGATTTATTCCTACGGCGTTATCACCCTGGAGAAAATTTTATAGACTCGAGGGAATGCTGCCTAGATTATTATAACATACAATTTGCTTCTCGTCTATTAAAAGGGAGAAAACATATTAGAGAAAATAGTGCTGTCACATTTGAGTTTAAGAAGCAAGTGTGGCATTAGATCATGTCACTATAAGGGAGCTTCTAACTCTCTCTTCCCCCTCTTCCCAACAAAATCCAGACAAGAGCATTGAATATGTATACCAACCTAGCATCACTTTTGATGCTTGTCTTGTAATGGTTTCCGGTTCATTTTCCAATGTCAAAAACTTGCAAGAGGAAAATGTGAAGGTAGGACTGGACTAATAATGGAGTATTTTCATTTGCATCTTTTTATTTCTTCGTAAGGAGGTCAGGTGGCTTTCTTTGTTTGGAGGGTTGTAGGTAATTTCAACTAATGATACTAAGAGCTAGGGCAAACACATCTTTACAATTGAGGTGCGTGTTCAGACAGGGAACCACTTAATGCTATGATGTGACATCACTCGAGGGCTATATTGGGTCCAATCAAGCTGTTGATGTTTCGTTGATAGGGAAGCCGGCTCCTGAAAGGGGTTCAGAGGATTTGGCATGTGGTTCTACTATGGCTTGTGTGGAGCGAGTGCAGCTAAACGGGATAGAGAGCTTTTGCGGGGGCTGAGAACCATATTTATATATATATATACTTTTTTTTAATAGTAATTGTAATCACAAGTATCTTTCACTGTCTTCTTATTTTGGGGTTCTAGTAGGGGAACTTGGGGCATATAAATCCTTTTGTTGATATATTTGGCAGATGTTTACTCTCTGCCTTTTCCTTGCTCCTTGTATACTCTAGAACCGTGTGTACTCAAGGCTTGCCTTTGCCTTGGTGGTTTTTTATTGGATTTTCTTTATTCATGAGGCAGTTCAATCTACATGGGTACTTAAAATGTTTGAGTTGCAGCATTGCATGAGTTTTATTGACTTAATGTTTTTAGTGGACTGCATTACTGAAGGAGGTGTGGTAATAAGTATTTAGTGGAAACATCTTCATGTATGGTAAATTTAATTATTGAAATTGACCTATGGTGACCCTTTAGCCTATCCGGTATCATCCTGATGGCTATTGTTTTGCATGGGTGATAAGCAAGTGATTGAAAGCATTGCTGTGTTGATGGCTCTTATATTGAACCCTGCATGTGATTGCTTGCTCATATAATTTTGGATTGTTTATGTTATGTTTTTTCTTATTGTCCTTAGTCTTTGTTGGTTGTGGCTTGTGACACTTATAAGTTATGTATTTGCTCATGTTGAATAATTTGCCAATATTAAAATATAGGTTGTTATTAAACATGTGCCTCGCTTCGATAAAGCGTGCCTTGTCTCTCACCTCATGCTAGGTTCTTGGAGACCATAGCACTCGGTGCATGTTGCACCTTAAATGACAGTAGGAAATACATCATTAGAATGAAGAACCAGACACCATTCTCTTAACCTATATGCTTGAGCTTATTGGTATTGTTAAGTTGAGAGAATTAACATAACACAACATTAGAGAGAAAGAGAGAGGTTAAAAACTTAACCTAGCTCTCAACATCACTTGTATTTATAGTTAATCTACAATAATAAGAATTATACATACACCCTCTTACTATTAACAATTTACTCATACGACCCTATTATTTTTAACACTCTACCTCAAGTTGGTCTATATATATATCATATAATCTAAACTTGGAACACATAGTTGTAAGACGTGTACGACTCAATGCTTTGGTAACACATATCTGTAAGCTGATCTTTAGATTTTACAAATGGAGTTGTAATCTCCCCAGCTACTATCTTGTCCTGAATAAAGTGACAATCAATCTCAATATGCTTAGTTCTCTCGTGAAATACAGGATTGACAACAATATGGATAGTTGTCTGGTTGTCACAGAACAACCGTAAAGGAAGTTAAACTAGAAACCCAATTTCTTGGAGAAAGTGTAGTAGTCAAGTCAACTCACTCGTCGTATGCGCCATAGCCCTATACTCAGCCTCAGCACTGGATCTCGCTACCACGGATTGTTTCTTTCTTTTTCATGAGACAACGTTACCTCCTAAAAAAGTACAATAACCAGTGGTTGATTTCCGATCAGAAGGAGAGCCAGCCCAATCAGCATTTGAGAAACCTTCCACTCTAAGATGTCCATTAACTCGAAATAATAGTCCAAGTTTAGGAGCACATTTGAGATATCGCAGAATACGAGTAACTGCCTCCTAATGTGGTACTCTTGGACACCCCAGGAAATGACTTACTATATTGACTGCATAGGAAATATCCGGTTGAGTAATAATGAGATAATTGAGCTTCCCAACCAATCTACGATACCGACTTGGATTCTCAAACAGTGTACCATCATCCATCAAAAGTTTTTGATTCGGATCCATAGGAACATCAATAGGTCTGCCACCGAGCAAACCAGCTTTCTCAAGCATGTCAAGTACATATTTCCTCTGGAATAAACAAATACCCTGTTTAGATCGAGCCACCTCAATACCCAAAAAATACCTGAGTTTTTTCAAATCCTTAGTATGAAATCGATCCTGTAAGAATATTTTTAACTTGACAATTCCCTCAGAATCATTTTCAGTAATTACAATATCATCTACATAGACCACCAATAGGACATATCCAGCATTTGTCTGTCTATGAAACACAGAATGATTTGTTTGACATCGAAGAAGACCAAACTCTAAAACTGCATCTGAAAATTTACCAAACCATGCCCTCGGTGACTGCTTCAAACAAAGATTTCTTTAACCGACATACACTCTTACCATACTCCCCCTAAGCAGTAAACCCAAGGTGGCTGCTCTATGTATACCTTTTCAACCAAGTCACCATGTAAGAAGGCATTCTTGACGTCTAACTGAAACAAGGGCCAATCAAGATTAGCAGTCAAAGAAATTAAGATACGAACAAAGGAAATTTTGGCAACAGGAGAAAAAGTCTCATCAGAATCAACACCATAAGTCTGAGTAAAGCCCTTTGCAACAAGCCGGACTTTGAGACGCTCTACAGAACCATCTGGATAAAATTTAACAGTATACACCCAACGATAGCCAACAGTTCGTTTACTAGGAGGTAAAGGAAAGAGAGCCCAAGTCCCATTATGATGTAAGGCATTCATCTCCTCCTCCATAGCTTTCATCCAACTCGGATCAGATAATGCATCCTGTACATGCTTAGGAATAGATATAGCAGATAATTAGAAAGTAAAATAAAAGAAGACTGAAGACAAGGCATCATATGAAACAAAATGAGAAATGAGATGATTAGTAACACATGAACGAGTACCTTTGCGAAGAGCAATAGGTAAAGAGTCTAAATTATCTGATGTACCAGGATCAGAAGGCGGCAAGGAAGACGGTACGGGCATCTTAGTCAATAGGCGAGGATGGCGAGAGTAGACACGGAGAGGTAAAGTCGATGGTAACACAGTGGGTAGTAGAATATCTGAAGATGAGGAAAGAGATGGTGGTACAGGAGATGACTCAAAGTCTAGATCCAAAGGCTAAGAAGGTGCTGAAAAATATGGAACAACTTCTTCAAACGTGACATTGACATTAGTAAAGTATCGGTGCAGAGAAGAACTGTAGCAACGATACCCTTTCTGCGTGCGGGAGTAACCAAGAAATACACATTTGGTAGTTCGAGGGTCAAGTTTGTCAAATTTAGGACTTCAATTATGAACATAACAAACACATCCAAAAACCTTAGGAGTCAGGGAAAATAAGAGCTTATTAGGAAAAATGACAGAATATGGACTTTGCCCATTTAACATAGAGGATGACATACGATTAATAAGGTGACAAGCAGTAAGAACAATATCAATCCAAAAATATCGGAGAATATTCATTTGAAATAATAGGGCACGAGTGACTTCTAACAAATGACGGTTCTTGCGTTCAGTAACACCGTTCTGTGGAGATGTGTAAGCACAGAAAGTCTGATGAATAATGCCACCTTTATTAAGATAAGCTAAAAAATGATCAGATTCATATTCTCAAGCATTATCAGGACGTAAAATACGGATACGACAACCATATTTAGTTTTTATGTCCTTACGAAATGTCTTAAATATAGAGAATAATTCAGACCGAGCTTTCATCAGAAACAACCAAGTCACACGAGAATAGTCATCTACAAATAACACAAAATAAGGATATTTATTAGATGAAATATTTTTTATTGGACCCCATACATCAGAATGTACCAACTCAAATGGACTAGACATACGATTATTGACTCGAGATTGAAATGACACACAGTGATACTTACTAAGTTGACAAGCTTCACAAGACAAAGACGACACAGAACTAAGGTTGAGAACTTGATGCTTCAGATTCTGGAGAGAGGGATGTCCAAGACGACAATGCCACTGAAAAGGAGACAACGAGGTCTGTAGAGCCCGAGTAGGTGAATCAAAATCAAAGTAATATAGGCCACCAACTTCATATCCTGTACCAATCTTCATCTTCGTCTTAAGATCTTGAAAGACACAACAAGAAGGATAAAATGTTACAGAACAATTGAGAGAATGGGTAATCTGGCTAATGAAAAGTAAACTAAAATGAAACTGAAGACCAAATAATATAAAAGATAGGGACATATCAGGACTCAAGTTAGTAGTCCCCAAACCTGAAACTTTAGAACAAGTGTCATTAGCAAGAGTAACACTACATGTGGAAAAAGCAGACTGATAAGTAAAAAAAATATTAGACGCACCAGTCTTGTGATCAGAAGTGTCAAAGTCTATGATTCAAGGACTGCGATTGGAGGACAATAAACAAGTGGAAGCAATACCCGACTGAGCAAAAGTAGCAGTGGATGGAGATGGAACAACCTGTTGCTGGAATAGGAACTGTGGATACTCCTATCGAGTAATAGTAACCAATCCAGTGTCTTGTTTGGGTTCCATAACAGTGTAGCAAATAGCAAACAAGAAGTGCTGCAATGCCGAACCAAAAGAAAAGAGGATGCTGGACTGCTGAACTGGTCTGGAAAACCGGCCTAAACCACTGAACCAGGCCTGTTAAGGCTGGGTTTGGGTTGGATTTAAAATAATTTAAGAACAATGGGCTTGAGGGTTGGACTTTGGGTTGGATCAAGACCAAACTTGACTGGGTTGACCTGAAGTAGTCTGGACCTTGTCTTCTTCGCTAATTAGGGTTCCAAAGTCTAGATCCTTTGACTACACAGGCTTCTCTTCGACCTTCGACTGCGCCTCACCACCACAACACACGACCACCAACGGCGACAACCAATAACTGTACCTACTGCGCCTCACCACCACAACACTCGACAACCAACGACTGCACCTCACCACCACAACAAGCAATGACAGACAATGTCACTGTAGCAACAGTACACCACCACAAACAATTGACAAACACCACCACACAATCCACAATAGTACCAACGAACAAAAAATTAATTTATTTAGAATATATATTTATGATCGTAATGCTCTAATATTATGTTAAGTTGAGAGAATTAACATAACACAATATTAGAGAGAAAGAGAGAGGTTAAAAACTTAACCTAGCTCTTATACATCACTTGTATTTATAGTTAACCTACAATAATAAGAATTATACATACACCCTCTTACTATCAACAATTTACACATACTACCCTACTATTCTTAACAGGAATGATCTAGTGGCAAAGAAAGTTGCAGCATTTTTTTGGCCTTTTTATATTAGCTTCATTTGTTTATATTGGTTGTGATATACAAAACCTTTCCACTGCATCAGTTCCAATATATTGTTGTTTCAGCTAAACATAACTGCCTCATTTGTTTTTAATATTGATTCCTCATCTCCTATTCTGAGTGACTTAATCCAAACAAGGAAAAAAGAAAAATCTTCCTACACATGGTGCATGTTATGCTATGTATTTTTTTTTTGTGGCATGGTGCCTGGAGTGTGTGTAGTCATACTGGAGATTGTTAATATAACATGTATTTAACTGCATCGCAGGAATTACTGTAGCTTATACTGCTCCAACAAGACATGGATGCTTGAAGGTAGTCGAAAATAACTATTGTGCTTCTAGAAGGGGTATGCTTATCAAATTTTGACTTGGTATTTCCTTATGTTGACTGAAATTTTTGGCCGGAATGAATCCCTTTGGGTTCCATAAGATGCATTTAAGCTTGTCATAGTTTACTATGCTTTCGTCTCTGTGGTGCGCCACCTTCTTTTGTCATGCGGTGTAAAAAGTTATGAACAATGATCTCGTATTAGACAGTTTTGCTCAAGTCCAGCCAACAATAAAGTATTCACCAGGCAGGTGTGGCTCATTAAATATATATTTTTCATGAGCATACGCTGATATGACACAATTGGTTCATTAGAATTGTAGCTCACTTGCCACTCACATGCCTTTCCCTTTATCTTGATTCTAGCCATCTCACTTAATACGCAACAAGACCAGAAGATTGTTAATAAGCACCTACCTCAAATAGCTGAATACAGTATTGAGTCTAATGGATGTCTACTTTAATGTGTTTTATAATCTCTGATCACCTTTATACAGGTGGAGTCCGCTGCCTATCAATTCTGAATGTTGTATTTGCCATCATTTTTGGACTTCTTGCACTATTTCTTGGTTCAACGCTCCTCACATTAGGAAGCAGCTGCTCCTTGCCCTTGTTTTGGTGCTATGAGGTTGCCTCGTGGGGGCTGGTCAGTCTATATGGGGGAACTGCATTCTTTTTAAGAAGGAAAGCAGCTGCAATTCTGGATGAGAGTGACTTTGCTGGTCGGAATCTTGGGTTGGAAATGTTGGAAGCGAACCCGGTGGAAGTCACATCAGATGTGGAGAGGCGAGTTAATGAAGGTTTTAAAGCATGGATGGGTTCATCTTTCCTTTCATCGGATGAAGAAGATGAATCCGATAACTACCAGGAACAGGAAGTCCCCCATCTGTCACATACTAACTCCTACAGGCAAAGATTGTGATGTTATCCTTCATCAAATTTTCTGCATTTCTCATCTTCTGAACAACTTCTTCCACGGCCTTTGGAATCATTTGATTTAAAGGTAAATCCTGGTATGTTGAGAGGGTCGGCTTTTTAGCATGGTTTATATGAAACTTGTATACACGAATGATGAACCAATGCTAATGATGAGGCATGGATGTATATGGAATCAGAAGGCATCATCAGTCATTTTTAGGTGATTTTCATAGTTTGTGAAAAGATTGCCAGTGTAGTTGTATTTCTGTGCGTTAAAAGCCTTGGTCATGGCAATCGAAGCATTTTCTGTTTCATGTTGAGCTTTGTACTCAATTTCACTACTTTAGTAATAACAACATAAATGGTCTCATAAAATAGAATCAATTACTCATTTAGAACATAGAATCAATTCATAAAGGCTTTCTTTTGAAGATTCAAGAGACCATTTACTCAATTCATGAATCAATTCATAAAGTATTTTTGTAATAAAGTATTTTTGTAATGTCCTGATTTTTTGGATGCGTCAACTAATCAATTGATCATAATAAATCATAAATATCTATATAATAAAATACATATGAAGTTGAATTTTATTTCTTACATATTTTCTTCCTCAAAATTATCACATCACCCATTTCTATCACATGTGAGAAAATTTTATCGAATTACATATTTTGAGAAAATTTTATCAATATTTTTTTAAAAAATAAAGAGTAGAAATAAATTTTGAATGAAATATAAAAAACAATGAAGGAAAAAATTATTATTTAATATAGTGAAATTGATTTTTGTGGGGCTCAAATTTTATTTTATCGTGTCTTCAGGCACATGTTGTAGTTAGTTTATATAATAAGATATTTAGATTTTTGAACTTATGGGGGTATATTTTTCCCTCAAATTTTACACACCCATCACATACTTTTCCCCTTAAATTTCACAAATCCAATACAAACACTCTACAACACACAGTTACACACACTCCAACGCACAATCATTATACATACATTTCAACTGTACACACACTCTAATACACGCATAATATAATCACTTAGTATACAATGACTTCAGTCATGAGATATCGTTAGTATTTTTAAATACAAGATTAGACAATAAAACAAAAAATTATAAATTTTTAATTTTTTGAAATGTCAACTCTGGTCTTTCTTTTGAAAATCATTCTAAAAAATATTAAAATTGGGAAAGTATACATTATGATAGAAAATAATATGCTCAATGTTTTACAATCTCCATTTTTTTTAGAGGTATAGAAAGAAGAGGAATCAGAAAATGTCCCATGTAGCCTATATCACCCCAATCTTTGCCTCCAAGAATTTTTTTACAATCCCCATTTTCTCTCCTTTTAGTTTTTTGCCTCCCACTATGAGGATACAGTGAGAATGGCTTGTTGATGTAAAAATGACTATGATATGGTTTCCTACAGCCTCTATATATTTTCTGCACATAAAAAATGTAAGTATTGAAATTGAAATATTATAAATTGTAAGAAAATCATTGAAATAAATAATTGTACCCCTTATAATTGAAAAACGAATCATTTAGAAGAATTCTTGTTATATTGTTTATCGAGAGAGAACGCACAACATCTTTCTAATCGCCAAATTTTATCCATTGATGTCTGTTGATATATTGGCTTATTGTTCCACTAAAAAGTATAATATCAAAATAATATTAAATTACTTTTTCAGCCCAAAAAAAAAAAAAGACTGATTAAGGAGAGAACACATAAGTTAGTATTACTAAAATCCCGTTGGTGGTACATAGGGGTTGCAACTCTTCTTTTCCTTCGGTCAATGGAGAAATTCTCATAATCTTGTAAGAAATAAAAATTACAATTAGCTCATATTACAAATAATTAACACAAAAATTCAAAATATAAATGAGTGAGACATTTACATTCGAGGGGTTCCTTACTAGAGAAATCACAATCTCTAGAACTCTTTAAGGTTAAGGTGTATAACACTCTTATAATGACTAATGGAATGTCTTCTCCACTCTTCTTTATTGTCTTTTATAGTTTAGACTCCTTAAATTTGAAATTTGAATAAAATTTGACATTTGTAGCATTCACTATTAATGTTATACTGCACCTCTTGACAAGTTGTCTGGATCTATGTATTTACTCCAACTTACAAGCCATTTTTGACCATGAAAAACTGTCAAAAATGAAAAACTGTATTTCTAATAAAAATGTAGATACTTTTGTCGAATTTTCAAATCATAAAAAATCAAGTCATTTGGACATTGGAGTAAAAAGTTATGCAAAAAATATTGAGATCCGGTCAATTCTCTGTTTCTACTATAAGTGTGGAACTCCTGATAAAGCATATGAGATAGAAGATTTAATTGTTGGAATGAAAATTCCAAGAACCGTTGACAGTGCGTATGCATTGAATATAAAATTTTTTTCTTTAAAACCCTACAAGGTAGAATTAGGGTTTACCTTCAAGATATTTCAAGATTGATCTCGTCTCAGCACAAACGCAAAACAGAACAACGACTACAGCTCGACAAATCTGACGATCGTTTTGTCGTATATCCCTCAACGTCAGAATTCGGATGTAGTGTGAGTTTTCAAGACCTCTGAATCCTTGATCTCTCTTTCAGCCTCCCTAAAAAAGTGAGTAATGATAAGATACTGAAATAAAGAACCTAGACGTCTATATATAGGTTATAACAGAGACGCTAAGGAAAAATAAGGATCGGGCTCCCAATGAGTTTAGGATTCCTATGTTCAACCCAGAACAAACATCCTACAACCTATTAATAATAAGTCAGTCCACTAAAGACTTATTGTTGATTTCCTGGACCTTATCTCAAAATTATATTTGAGCTTCTTGTTATTATATGCTTAATAATCTCTTCACATTTAAGATTATAAAAGTCCATCAATTAAATAAATCACTGACAATGATATTTAATTGACTTCTTTTATTCCTTGAGACCTTACCACTCATTTATCATGTCAGATAATTAAATTCACCTGCAAGGTTTGACATGGACAAAACTTTTGAGTTTCTTCAAGAGAACATCATCAACCCATTTAAATATTAGGACGTGGTTTCTTTTAATATTTAATTTTGACTATACAAATAACATCGTCTTCCAATTCATTGAACTTATTGACCCAATATGAATCTCATTCTTTGGTCAATTAAAGTGACAAACATTATATGCACGTGATAATTAAATATTTAGGGATGAAGAGCATAAACAATTATAATAATCATATGATATTTATTATCTTATTAAATCAGTAAAAGATAATAACTTCAATATAGATCTGTTTAATACACAAAGTGTATTAGGGCAATTATTTGAGACATCAAACAATCTTCTAAAAGACAAATTATGCCAAAATATTACACTACAATCATGCCGATGGCGTGTTCAATTCCATCTACGATTGTGAACGTATACTCATATTATACAAGGATCCGATAATTTGGTCTTCCGTGCATTAGCCGAACACCAAATTATCTACAATGTAAAATATAAGACACATGCATATCATATATAAAATATAATACAAATATTTTGTCCATTTAGATTCTTAATAAAATGGAAAGAACAAATTTTTTTTAATTAATAAAATAAGTTTTACTACAAAAAAGTAAACTTCTAATATCCTACTCTATCATTAATAGCATATATGAACAGTCAAGTTGAGAAAGAAGACGTCGTAATGCTATTGAAGGTAATTTATATCGGGTAAATAAATATTAGTATTAGAGAAAATTATGATCCTGAAGTGCCCTTCTTATGGGAATTCTAGTAATAGTTTGACCTAGTGACTTAGGAGACAAAGAAAATGCTTTTTTATATTTAGCTTGAGTTCTTTTAGTTGTTTTCTTTTTATTGTATTTTGTCTTTGTTATTGCATTAGATAAATACGTATGTCAAGTTATCGTATTCTATTTGAAAAAAATTGTCGATTTTGTTAGTTCGGATACAAAACGTATCATCAAGACATGGTTTATAGAAACCAACAGGCTGGTGTGATGCATGTTGTAGCTATTGTGAAAAACTGCTTGCATATGTAGACATTGATAGAAAGGAGATGGAGAAATATGTAGCCATTGTTAGGGGCAGAGTTAGGAATTCATGAGGGTGGGCACTAACTAGAAGTTTTAATTTTTTATTTTTTGTCGATTAAAGTAAATGATACATAATAAATTTGTTAAATCTTATATAATATTTGAAATTTTATTAACAACAAAGGTCAAAATCCAATATACATGGGGTATATGCACAAACAATCCAATTAGGGTTGAAATGCAAAAAAAATCAAATTAGGTAGGGCAAAATGCACAAATAATCTAATTATGGTTAAATGCATAAAAAATCAAAAAATATGTGTGTGGGCTCTAAACTGTGTAGTGTAAGATAATATGTGTTCATTTCATGTGTGCATTGTGTTGTATGAGTGAGTGGATAGGAGCCTGACAATTTGGAGTGGGTGTTCTGTTCGTAGACAGAGATGATTACAAGGGGCTGGTGGTGGGGTTCCATGGCAGAAGGAGAAGAAAGGTTGAAACTTGAAAGAAAAATAAAGAATAAAGAATAAAGAAAGGCTCTTGTTGCGTTGAGAGAGAAAAAAGATAAAATAGAAGGGTTGAAGTGGGTGAGTCTGATTTCTTGAGTCAAACTTTTTTTTTTTTGGAAAATTGTGGAGAGGTACCATATAAATTATTTCTTTGTGAAAAAATATTTTGCGGAAAATGTATTGTAAATAAGTATTGTTAGTTGAAAATATATTGCGTCTAGATACACAATGACAGTTTTTAAATTTTTTTATCTACTGAAATACCCTTTTCCATAATTCATACACTGTTTAGTTTGACAATTTTTTTCTATGAGATTTATTTTATTATATCAACAGTTTCCTATTTTAATAGAAATACCATTTTCCTAATTCATAGACTGTTTAGTTTGATAGTCTCATTTTTTGTGGGATTTATTTTTTTTTATATCAACAGTTTCATATTTTAATAGATCAAGATATTGGAATTTTAAACATATATTTTCTTCTTTTATTTCAACGTTCGGTGTTCTTTTTCTACTTCAACGTCTTGTGTTACACTATGTGATGTCACACTAGGGTTGTCACGCTATGCCAAGCATAGCATTTAGTTTGTGTAGAAATTAGGAAGTATAATTGCACATTAAAAAATGTTAATTGTGTTATTACACTGTGACGTAATACTGTCATAATAACAAAATACAAAAAGAGTATTAATATAAAAATAGACAAAATATGATGCACGTTGTAGCTATTGTGGAAAGACATTGATAAAGAGGAGATGGAGAAATACGCAGCCATCGTAGAAGGTTGGTTAATGGAAGAAATAGAAGAGGTCAACGATTTCTTGATATTCAAGGTAAGTGTTATTTGTTTTCATTATTAGAATGTGACAATTATCCTTAGTTTTTTTTAATTTTTCAAAAAAAATTTTAGTGGTGGCTGAAACAGATAAAGGATATGTACTATCATTGATGGAGTAATAAAATCTATTACCTTGATAATTAGACAGTTAACATATTTGTTTCTTACATAAAACTTAATACATGCAGTTTTACTAACATCCACAGCAGAAGTCATAACTTCATAGAAAATAATAACTATCGCTATTTAGTATTACTTTAAAATTTTTAAATAAACAAATGGACTTTGAATACAGATTCTTTGCGTCAAAATAAATTAAATGACTATAATATATGTTATATTTTGTATTAAAATAAAAATACAATAATATTCGAATGGTATAATAGACGAATAATATATATGTAATTTGTGATATATTTATACTAGTGATACCCCGTGACTGAAATCACTGTATATTAAGCTATGACACTGTGAGTGTATTAGAATCTGTGTACAGCTGGAGTGTGTATATAATAAGAGTGTGTATGCATATATAATGAGTGTGTGTAGCCGTGTGTTATGGAGTGTTTGAATTGGATTTTTGAAATTGGGGGGGGGAGGAGGGGAGTGTGAAATTTTGGGAGAAAAATATATCCTCATAAATTCAAAAACCTATCTATCTTATTATATAGATATTAAGGGGGCTAGCATTATTTGTCTTGAACTTTTCACGGATCTGATTATTTTAAGATTATTGAACAAACAATCGAAATTTCTCCTCCATATTGTTTTCCCACTCAAAAATTAAAAGAATTCTTTTATTTTACTCGATTATCGATTTGACGTCATTATGATTAGAATTTGAATTAAGCTGAATTTAATTGTCCAGTATATATTCTTACTTAACTTTGCTTGAATTTTACAAGTTTTCAAGTTGAAGTCAAATTAAAATTGATTGTAAAAGTAATAAACAATAACTAAATTAAGAAAGTAGAAGAAGAAGTTATGGTATCACAATGAACAAGAATAGATAAGAATTAGTTTGTAGGTTTAATATATAAATGTTAATTCAGTCGAACTTAAATTCAATTTTCAATTTGACATAATTATGATTAAGACTCAAATTGAGCTGAATTTTACTATTAAGTATAAGTATAAATTTTTACTTAAACTTAAAGGGTGGGATTATGCCTATCCCCAAATCTCCATTTCTACTCCATTTAATTTCTCATCATCAAAATACTAAATCCACCCTTTTTATTCCCACCCCTATTATTAACTAAGTTCACCCCATGTTACATATACCTCCTTTAAAAAAAAAAAGAACTAAACAAGAAAAAAAAAAAAGAAATAAGCAAATCGAAACAAGAAAGAAAAAAAAAAGAAGCAAAGATTAAAGGAACAAAGCAAAATTACAAAACGCAAAACCATAAAATGCAAAATCGGACATGAAAAAAAAAGTATTAAGCTTAAACACAAAATCAAACAAGAAAAAAAAATAGCAAGCATAGATGTAAAACCTAAACAAGATTAAAAAAATAATAATCTAAAAGCATATATACACACACACACACATATAAATTCCAAATAAAAAATTATTAAACTTGACAAATATATCAAAATATACTAAAAATAATGAAAATTCATAACAAATGGGAAATCAAACATATAATTAATGGAGAAGTAATACTAACATGTATCTCATTGAAAAAAATTCATATTGAAAAAACATTTTTGTGAGTACACGAGATAAAATAGAGAATGAAACCCTAATTATGACAAAATATAAGGTGAGTTTACTTATCAAATGGGGCGTATGTTGTATGGGGTGAACTTAGTTACTGATAGGGTGAGTATAGAAAGGACATACTTAGTAATTTGATAATGAGAAATTAAATGGGGTGAGAATAACCTCACCCAAATTTAAATTCGATTGAATTTTAAGAATATTTAAGTTGAGCTTAAATGGAAACTAATTTATTTTTTTCAACAAATTTTTTTTACATCTATGAGAATTCATGTAAAACTTTTAGAAGTTTTTCTCACAAAAGTTACACGAACTCACTTTGAAAAAATAGTGCTGAGATAACGTTATGAACTTTAGGTAAAAATCTGCAGAAAAATAAATAGTTATATTTTTTTGAAATCTGAGATAAAGTTTATTAAAGATATTAAAATTATTGATGTTGATCAATAATAATTATATTTTCTCATATTTTTGAATTAATATGTTGTAATGGTTGTAGCGTGAATTAATATGTTAAAATAGTTTTATGTCAAAGCTACCTTATTTGAGGAGGAAACAGGTTTTGGTTTTTGAAAGAAGGGGTGGTTTTCTGATGGTAATGTTGGTCATAGGAGGGCTTTTTGAAGGATTAAAACATTGGTTGTAATTTTGAGAATTTTGATTCTTGTTTGCTTCTTGTAATTCGTTTATTCATTCAAAAAAATCTCACTTTTTCAAATATATATATATAAGTTAAACAATATGTTAAAAATTATATTATACATTGTCTTTATTATGAAAAAATATTTAAAATTTTTTACGAGTAACGCAATATCTTCAAGTACGGACAATTATTAGTATATATATAATAGAGAGAGAGAGAGAAATAGTCCTTATATTAGAAAGTATTTAAAATTAAAGAATTTTGATTTTGCGTTAACTTTATTTTGATCACAATTAAATATATGACAAAAAAATTGTGACACATACTGTAACGCCAATGTCATACTGCTTGTAAAATACTTATGCAAAGTTGGGCCACTGTAGACATTATAATGTGACATTAATGTCTATTGTATTCACACAACATATGCAAGTTTTGGCACATGACACATAGAAAGTACAATAATGTGACCTAGGGATTGGAACATTGCTGGCATCACAAATTTGGCATTAATGTCACACTATATATAGACACCATATACGAGGTTTGCACACGGATGATATCACACTGTGACTCCAATGTAATACTTCGTACACACATCACATAAAAATTCAAAAACATATGTTGGTATCGCAATGTGAATCCAATATCACAGTGTGAATCTAATGTCACAATATAATTACACATCATATACATTATTTTTTTATGGTGTGGGCATAAAAAATGTGACTCTAATGTCACATTACAAAATAAACATCATATGCAGTATATTGCATATGGTGAGTATCACATAATGTGACTTAAATGTAACACTACATCAACAGAGAGAGAAAATAGAGGGGAGAGAGAATAGGGAGAGAAAAGTAACGATGGGAGAGAGAACGAGTTTGAGGGAGAAAGATAAAATAAGGAGAGAGATATTAACGGTGAGAGTCAGATATATAGAAAGAGAATAGAAAATCTTTTTAAAATTAATGAAATTATTTCAAAATTTAAACGGTTAATTATCCTTTAATTTAGGGAACTACTTAGCCATTAAAATAGAATAAAAAAAAAAAAAATTGTCCCAATAAAATAGATAATTGAATCTCACAATTAACCGCCTAAATTATTTTCCACAAATAAAGGAAAAAGGTTTTTACATAAATGAAATAAAGTATATGAAATATTTAAAAAAAACCTAAAGTGTTTCTGTTTACAAAACATTTATACAAAAAAGACTTATACATAGAAAATTTATATTAAAGTACTTTCTCACAAAAACTAGTGTATAATATACCTATTTCACAATTTTTCCTAATTTTAAGTGTGTAATAATAGCCCAAATAAAGGAAATGAAATTCATTAAAAATAGGCCCACAAAAAAATTTAATTTAAACTCAGTCAAAAGATTTCAACTTAAATAAATTAGAACTATTAATTGTGCCCGTGAAATTAAAAGACCTTAAATTTCAATTTTTAAGAAAAAAAAAATTAACAGTAAAACTAAAACTACTAAAAAATCAATTCTTTAACCCTAAAAAAATTATTTATATAAAATGCCAATCCTCAAAATTTAAAACTTCGGAGCCAATTGAAATCCCAAGTCTTGGACTAGTTGTTTTAACTTTTAAGACGATGGTAGAGTTTGATATCGTAACCCCATTTTCTCTCAATCAAATCCACAAAACATAAACCCCTTGATTCAAAATCTAAATAAAACGTAATTCAATTCTCCAACTATTTATACAAAATTAGATCAAATAACAACAATAATAATAATAAATCAGACATTTTCTAATAACAATTACTAAACAGGTTTTGCCGTGTCAAAACTAGGATGACCCATCTATTCCCGTATTAATTAATTATGTCATTTTCAAAATCACAAATATGCAGATAGCATATAAAACCAATATGTCCAGCCAAAAATTGACACTCCTACCCACCACGACAGAAACATGGTGCAGTGGTAGGCTTGGACCGAACCTTAGGTTCCGCAATACAGTAGAAATGATAAGAAACTCAGATAAAATAAAATAAAATAAAAAATACTATACTATGGTAATAAAAGGAAACACATATCATTTCTTAGTTATCCCAACAACCAGATAAAGGAGACCGCAGTAACTGCACAAAATTGGTGACAATTTAAGTAAAGAGGAGGTTGTATGATGGATTATGCTGCTCCAACTTTCTGAACTTTATTTGGGCGGCGACTTACAGGATCATTATCCCTAGAGCGTGAGTGCTTCCCATTAAATTGCTTCCTGCCTCTATTATGCTTTCCTCCCCTGTCAAACATGGATAAGATGTCTTTTTAAGAGCTTGGAACAGCGGAAAGAGAGAAAAAAAAGAAAAGAATTCAATGGTAAATTCAAAACCAAAGATTGATCAAGTCGATACAGATGAGAGAGAGAATTTCTGATACCCACCACCCCCGGTTTCCCTTGTTGTCCCAGTGTTTTTCCTGATTACAACGGAGCAGACTCCAGTACTCTCTCTCAGCCTCACCTGATTGCATAGCAGACACAATAAGAGATGTACATCACTAAAACGGGTTGTTCATGACATTCACATGTTAATGTTATAAAGAAGTCGCCCAAAGAACAAATAAAACAAGAAAATTACATGGCTCTTAGTTATGCATGACACCAGCGTGGCGTCAGCAATCACCATTCTTAAAAAACCATGATGAGAGCATTGAAACATAACCAACGAAACATGTATTCATCAAAAACTTAGATACAATATCTTATTAAGTGTAACAGTGCCATACACAGTTATTGGGGCCTATAATCCGGCCTGTTGTAAGAGTAGAACCCTTTTGCCATACACTAACTCCCCCTTAACTCCCTCCCACCACCACCCACTCCCAAAGGAAAATCTTATCTTCCTTACCTTGCTAAATATTCCTTTCATTTTCTCAATCAGAAATACATTAAGAGTGAAGGAGATGACAAGCAAGGATCTTATTATGCCCAATTAATATGCTGTTGACTTTTTTTTTTTTTATTCTCCCAATTGTATGTGTTCGTATCTCCATAAAAAAACTGGATCAACAAAGTTCGACCACTGTTTAGCATATGCTAATGTCATGCACTTTTCAGGGGACCTATCGTCCTGTTGTCCTTTCCTTTTCGTTTTTCTGTGGGTTCTTTTTAAGGGTGGGGGTCAGGGTGGAGAGTTTAGTGGACTTTCCAGCAAGGTAGCTATCCCAAACTAGTGACAACCTATACTTCAATGCAAATTTTGCAACTACGGTTTGTAAGTGATGAAGATATTTTTGATTTCATCAACTCATCAAGCCTTAATCCATCCAATAAGGTTTTCAACAAAGAAGATAATAAAGCAACAGCTTGCTGCTTACCAGTGACAGGATCTAAAGTTGCAATGAAATTTTTCACAACCAGACCACCTTCCTCAGCAAGAACAGCAGCAGCACGTGCTTTCTGAGGTCCTCCTGCATCTTCAAACCGTATATATCCAGACTCTGATCCAAACTTGAAATCAATATACTACAAAAGAGCAAAACACAAATCAGTAAGAAAATCAGAATATATATCAAGAATGCTTGATTGCAAGATTCCGAACTAGATGGGAGGAATCATTCTATGCAATTCTCAGAACTACTGCATGAAAGATGGTATGATCCAAAACAAAAGAAAACACCGCCAAAAACACAATACCCTCCCCAACCTCACAGGAAAAAAGACAAAACTAATACTAGGGGAATATGTCAGAACATGACAGCTCTTCTCACACTGGACTTCACCACAACCCCATAGTAAGTTTACAACTCATATAGTCTACCTGACAAAGTAGTACTACTATAAATCAAGTTAAGTTTCCACGTAATTTATTTGAGTTGTACTTATCATGCCATATACAACGGATACCTAGCCCATATGCCTTGACCCTATTCCAAAACTTTGTAACTCTAGTTAGACTGTTATGAAAAATAATGAATATATATGTTTATTGTCATTTATGTCTGCTAACAAGTGTTTATATTCCAGTCAGTTTGTGTTAGCCAAAAGTTTTGAACAGCATGCAAGTCTAAAAATCTCCGTACAATCTATTTGTCTGGGTGTCTTAGAGCCCCAGTCTTACCCACCCTGACACATGTATTTCGCCAAGGGATTGGCTCAATGACATGTGGTCTGACCTCTCCCTCTTTGAGGGAGAGGTCACACATGCCACGGTTATCTCCCAACAAGTTACTTGTGCTCAAGTCCAGCAATCTGATCATCTCATTTGTGATTAATCCTCCCTGCATCACAGGACCAATAAGTGATGGAAAATTTAGATGGCAAGGCAGCTGTATTGAAAGATATTGAAGGTGATAAAGGAGGGAAGAAGGCAAAGAAAGGCTGAAAAACTAAACAAGCGGGGAAGCAAAATAGTTAATGCCAAAAAGCATTTACAACTTGGATGACCGAAAGAAAATATGAAAAGAAGAGTCATCGGAACAATAATATCTAAAGATGGAAAGTTCTTTTTTTTCGGCTGACTAGTTGGTCCACGTGTATGTTGCACGCCAACTATTTTGACTTTTAAAAAAAAATTGATAAATTAGACCAATTTTATTGATATAGATATTATATATTACATAATAGTTATTGAATTTTATGTTGTCCACTTGTTAGTGGACGATTATACAAAGTGGCACTGCTGAAATTTGGTAACCATTACAATCAAGATTTTTCTCGTATTTTAGGTTATATAAACTGAATTGCATAAGGTTCAAAAAAAAAAACTGAATTGTATTGTATTTAAAAATTGTAATGTTTACCTTCATTAAGTGATTAATAGTTGGATGACTAATGATTTCTTGGACTGATAAGAAGTTATTACAATAGGGGTATTATTGTGTTATCTTTTTAAGGATAGTATTATCAATTAAATTTTTTTGACAAGCATTGATATTTAAAAGGAGTATATAGATTATTAGATCTATTCAAATATTTGTTTTGCACTGAATTTGGATATGCACTACATACCTACAAACATATGATGTAATTTGGTAATTATTTATAAAATTGAGGAGAAATCCATGTGCTAATTGTTAAAATCGTCTCTATCAGATTCATATATGCGTTGTAAAAATTAAAATTCATTGGACAATTGAATTGGATTCGGATCTCATTTTTCAAATCGGATTTGAATCAAATTTATATTGTTTGGAAAGAAGATAATTAAAATTTAAATAATGAATTTATTAGTTGAATTAATGCAATTAATAAAAAAATAAAAAATCCTCAAAAAAGGATAAAATAGACATTATAGAATTTTTTGAAGGATAAATAAGGAAATCAAAAGTTTTTCTCTTAAGTCACTTTAAAAAGGATAAAGTAGACATTATAGAATTATTGAAGGATAAATAAAGAAATCGAAAGTTTTTCATTTAAGCCACTTTTATTAGTAGTATAGATTATAAAGGTGATGAAGTATCTTTGCTTGGCTCTCATGAGTGCAAAGATAAAGGAGAAGGAAAACAGAAATCTAATATTGTGAACTAACACAAGGCGAAGAAATCTACTTATATAGATACTAACAAAATCAGAAGCTCCAAAAATGAATAAAAAATCAACATTAAAAAAGAAATCTGAAGCAAAGAGAGAGAAAAGAACTTGATGGTACCTTAACGGTGCCAAACTTTTGGAAGACACCCTTCAGATCCTCGCGTAAAACAATGTCTTCGTTGTCCTTATATGATGCAGTGGCTGATTTTTCTTCACCTGCTGCGTGGTCGTCCTTTTGAATGGAATTGTCAAAAGATTTTTCTTGATCCTCGGTTTCCTTCCCTTCAGTCTCCAAACTACATTTCTCATCACCTTTTGCCTCACTGTCCTCGGGATTCTCAGCATGGTTTTCTTCATCATCTTTAACATCTTCTGATACATTTTGTTCAGTTTCTTGGGCAACATTTGCGGTGGAATCTGGTTCTCCATCTGATTTGCAACCATCTACGTCATCACAATCATTTTGTTCTGCAGAACCTTCAGCTGAGATCCTCTTCAACTTAAATGCAACAATTAAGCCTTTGGGATAACTGTGATCATCAAAGCGATACAGTTACATACAGAAGTTCAAAAATTCTAAACCACCGGAACTTACAAAGGTATATGAAATTCACTTTGCTTCTGCATTGGAATTGTTTTTACGATTCGAAGCTACCAGGGACCGAGAATTCTCAACTTCTTTGGTTTGCTTTGCTCTTTCTGCATCAAATTCCTTCCTGGGAAGGATTAAAAAACAAATGAGATACACGTATACAATGCACTTGATGCACACTCATACGACCAAGAACCTTTCAACATGCCTTCTGTGACACATTATTATCAAAAAGAGACATTAGCAGTCAATCTAGGGCCAAGGATTAGATTAATTTTTCTTAATAGTCCCATACGACCTAAAAGGGTAATTACCCAATCTAGTCCTAGAAATAAGCTAAGTAACAAATACACCACTACATATGATGCCAACAATAATGAACCTGCCAAACTGTCAACCGTATTATCATTTTGGTAAATAAAAAAACAAAATAAACTTTGAATTAGTATAAGAACTAAATATCAGTTTTCAATAAAATGATAAGAAGTCGTCAGGTCTTGTAGGGCAGCAAGATTGCAAAACAAAAACAAAAATCAATCATGTTCCAATATTTACACACATCATACGTATTAGCCACAATTTAAGCCTACTGAAAAGTTACATTGTAAACCCAGTTTCTTTTCCTCCTGGAGTCAAAACCAAGCAGATACATGAAACATAACAGCCTCTAGCAATAGTCAGACTGTTATCAGCATTATGCGAAGCTTATTTTGATAAGCTTCCCATCTATGGCCTATCCATTAACTTTTAAAAATGATTAAAAAGAACGGAAGATTATATGCATGATCTAGTTTTCCTTAGACACATAAGTTTCAATGATATAACCAATTCCATAGAAACTGAAAGTGATAGCCATAGCTTACTTTGGTTTCACCTCTAATCTGACACCTGCATAATCCAAGCTCTGCTTCAAAATATTTTCAGCATCTTCCTCAGTAGAGAACTCAACCAGAGCAGTGCCACAGAATAACCTTTTGTCTACAACATGACGAGGCAGCCTCACACTATTAACCTGAAATAAGCACGATAAAATATATACACATAGCTCAGTGCATTCAGACAAAGCTAAACTCATACTAACAATCCAAAAATGCATGGAGTGCAACAAAATCCATCACCAACACAACATATTGATCGCACTTAAAACGTAATAGTTCACATTATTCATAGAAAATGTAAGTGATAAGCAAAAGAATTATTCTAGACCATTAGAGTTCAACAGAGGCTTCCAACTGCATCAGTCAAAAATAACCACTAACTCCCAACTTGTGAAACTGAAAACAGAGTGCTCCATTTATAGTGTCAGATGTTTCCATACTTAATACATCTTAGTTCTTCATTCCCTAACATTCTCCAAGCCTATTATATACAAGAAAAAATCATCCTTCACATCACTTTAACAAACTTCAGTCCTGCATTTCCTATCCTCTCTCCTCGGTAAATATAAAGGATACATCCTACACACATCCTATGCAAACTGAACCTTTCTCATAGTCAGATCACCACAAACCCATAAAGGGCAACATTAGGATTCCACAAGTAAAAAAAAAAAGTGATTAAGGAGTTTTATAGGAACTGGAAAATGTGTCCTCAGCAATGATTTTGTTCTCACAATAAGAGAGTGTGGAGCAATCAATACCTTCCCAAACTGACAAAAGAAAGACTCTACATCTTCAAGCTTCACATCATACTCCAGTGGCGAAGCAGCTATTGTTTTCACCTCTAATTGCTCTATTATCTCCTCTGGCTTTAAAAGTTCTGTAGCCCTACCAACCTTCTTCCCTGGAGTTCAAAACCAACAAAACCGTGTAAACTCATTACTTAACTATCAAAGAGACAAGTACAGATAGACATGACACTTTTTATGTCATATCCCAGGCAACCAAACAATGCATATGAACAAAAATTCCAAAAGCTCACCATTTTCAGAAACTTTCAGGAATGAAGATGTCCTTAAAATTTCAGCCACAGCTTTCACTGTATCTTCTGCAACATCTTCTGGCTTCACTTCCCCAAAACAAGATGGTTTCTCATCCGAGAGAATGAACATATCAAAGCCAAACTAACCACTGTAGTTTCCGTCAAGAACAACAAAAGGAATTCACATACCTTTTGTGAATTCACATACCTCAGTTTTTTCCAAAACACAGAAATCTCCCGAAATTTGGACTTACTAACACTTTGAATACAAAAAGAAACTATGGGCATAGAGAATGTAGGCTTTTGCTATGGATTCTCAGCAACCAAACAAAAAAATAACAAGAATGCATACAGAAAAGAGAGAGGAGAAAAACCCCATCAATTGAAACCGAGACAAGAAACGATAATAAACATATGGAGAAATACACACACACACACACAAAAAAAAACAAATATATATATATATATATATATAGAGAGAGAGAGAGAGAGAGAGAGAGCTCAGGGTAGATAGAAAGAGAAGGATACTGCCATCTTGACTCTCACTAAGTGTGTTGCTGAGAAACTTATCCCTAGGAAGATTGCTATCACTGAAGTAGAACTCGACCTGCATTCGAAAAATAAAAATTACGAAAAATAAAAACATGCTCAATTTTTCGATCGTTGCAATACCAAATCCGAACCAAAAGCACAGATAAAAGACCTGTCGAATGACTTTCTTGGCTGTTTCTTCGTCCAACGACGGAGCCACCATTGTTGCGCTACCTTTCAGAGCTCGAAGTTAGAGAGAAGACGAGTACAGAGGGTTTATAGGACTAAACAGAGTACCGTTTAGGGTTTTGAGGAGGGCTTTTAAAGGCATATATTTGGAATGGGAGAGACGGAGACAGACAACGAACGAACGGGGACGTTCGATTGAGAAGCAAGTGCCTAAAATAGGCCCCATGCGCAGTAAACACGAAGCTAACCCGGGTAAACCGTCTGACGGGCTTTTATTTGGGTGGGTCAATCCGAAAAATTTAGTTAAATTTAGGCACAAAAACCCTAATTCAAGTAATTCGACTTGCAACTTCGACCCAAATTCAAATTGAATTTTATTGCAACCCAATTTGAATTTGAGCCGAGTTGCGGTGCTTGAAAAGTAAATTAAAATTTGAAATTAATTTCAATCAAATTTTAACTTGAGTTATATATAACCCGAGTTCAATTCAAATTTAAAATTTTAAATACTTATCTTAAGAATAAATTATACTAATAGTTCCTAAAGTTTAACACTTGTTGCACTTTTGTTTTTAAAGTTCTAATTTCATCAATTTCATCTTTCATGTTAACACATTAACTTACTTTGTTTTTAACTGCGGTCCAAATAATAGATGAAAAATGTCATACACTTGGCACGTGAGGATATTATGGGACATTTTTTGTATTTTACAACTATTTATACGTCCAAATACAATTATCCTCGGACCCAAACACACCTTTTTCTTCCTTCATTTTTTCTCCTCTCTCTCCTCACACACGCATAAATCCTTCTGAGTTCTATCTTCCTCACACAGACATCTCTCTCTCTCTCTCTATCTCTATTGCATCTCCACCCCTAAAGCCCAACACATCCCCTTCTCTCGTCCCTCGTTACTGCGTCTCCATCACCAAACCCAACGTATCTCCCTCTCTCCTCTCTCCTCTCTCCTCTCTAGCTGCGTCTCTACCTCTAAACCCAACACATCTCCTTCTCTCGTCTTCCGTCTCTTGTTACTGTGTCTCCACCCCAAACCCAACATGTCTCCCTCACTAATCTCTGCTCTCTTGTTATTGCGTCTCCACCCTCAAACCCAACACAAAAACCACAAAATACACATCCACAACACAACAACCCACAGTCACATACACACACATGGATTTAGAACTTGATTTTCCAAGGCCTCTATGGGCAATCAAGCCCCAATTCTTTCTAAACCCACAATCTCGACTTTGATCCCTAAATTTTGGAAAATTATAGTGGGCGATGCTTCTGTGCTCTGCGAGAGAGAGAGAGAGAGAGATTGTTGATTGGGGTTGGGGTTAGAGTTAGGGTTATTGTTTATACCCTCTGTTTGTCTTGCACTGAACACAGAGAGGGAGTGTGTGTGTGTGTGCTTGAATTGAAATCGAAGTCGAAGTTGAAGTGGAGAAGATCGATGTCGAAGTCGAAGTGGAGGGGATCGAAGTCGATTCCGTCTGATAAGCGATGCTCGATTTGGCTTGTTGAGCAAACCTGAATTGCCTCTGTGCATCTGTGTGAGTATGTGTATGTATTAAGAGAGAGTGGTGTATTTAGTTAGAGGGATAGTCTTTGAGTCCTACCTGTGAACCGCTGGCAAGTATTCAGGGGAAGTTGGACATCTGCATGAGTATATGTTTGTGTGTGTGTGTGTGTGTGAGAGAGAGAGAGAGAGAGAGAGAGAATGGGGTGTATTTGAATTGGAGGGATAGCCAATAAGTCCAACCGATGAACCGTTGGCAAACGTTCAAGGAAAGGCGAAGTGGAAGTGGTTGCTTGTTTAGACTTGGTTTTTGGTCTTTGTCTAAAAAATTGTTTTTCCATTTGTGTCCCTTATTTTTGGAAGCACAATGACAAAAATGCCCCTTAATCTCCTCATGTGACAAGCACATGGCATTTTTCGTATATCATTTAGATGGCAGTTAGGGGTTGAGTCAATGTGTTAAGACTAGCAATACACGACGACGTGCATTGCACATAAAAATATTTAAATAATATTTTTTTAATAAAAATTTAAATTATATGTGCAATTAAATAAATAATAAATAAATAAATTTTAATTAATTTTTATTTTAATTATTGTCAAACCTAATTATTAATTTATTCTTTCTCTCTTCGAGTATCTAATATGTTATTTGTTTAGGTATCTTTGATTGGGGTACAATTCGGGCGGGTTGGACAATCAACTCTAACTCAACTTTAAGTATATAATTTTCAAACATAACCCTAACTCTAACCCTATTTCAGGTTGGGGAACTCAACCCGAGCACTGTCCGAATTTAATTCAGGCGAGCTCAGGTTGAATTTTAGTTATTTTATGGGTTCAATTTGGATTCAATTCGAGTAGAGTTCAAAATAAACTTGTTATTATAAACCTAATACATATATTACATAATATTCACCTAAATTAACAATCAATAACTTCAACCAAGTTTTTAACAAGAGAGACTGAGAGAACAAGAGAGGCAAAGAAAACGATATATACATATATAATTTTTTTTTAATTTGTTGGGTTCAGGTTGAACTCGGGTTCACGATGCCTTAATCCGAGTCAAACCCAAATTGAATTCGGGTTGTAATTTTTTGACCCAAGTCCAACCCAAATATTAAAAATACTTGACCAAGCCCTAATTTTCTCGGGTTGAAATCGTGTTATCCAACCCAAGTTGCACACCTAATCTTTAACTTCTTAAATATTTTTTCTTTTGTTCATATGATTTTTTAATGTAATTATATTATAAATTTATTTCATTTTTTGTCAAAGAAATTAATTAAATTGGAATACTATTGTTTGTATTGTAATAATATGATATTGTTGTAAACCAAAAAATTAACTATAATATATATTGGACTGTAGAATAATATGATATAGATTGAATTTTATTTATTCATATAAATATAGATGGAAGATGAAATTGACCAAATTAAAACTTTAAGGACGAAAGTGCAACAAATAATAAATCTCAAGGACCTTTGGTACAATTTATCTTTATTTTAATAATTTTTATCAATCTTAACTTTGACTGCGAATGCCGTGCTCGCAAATGTTATATCCACTATACTGCAAATCTCCGTCATTAATCTCGTGGATCGGGTAACTTCCAAGAGATTCCATCTCTCCTCGATACCAGTTCAGTGCAGCTATCTGACCCACGGTGTTCAATGTTCGTGCCCGGAGAAGGCAACCATTCCAGACAAGATTTTCAAATTTTCCAAACCAGAAAACACCATCCAGAGCTCATTTCATACATAGAATCAAGAACATTAGCTGAGTTTACTGCTATTAACCAATAATTCAAATTTAAACTTTTTTATCATTACTCAATAACACATCTGTTGGTGCACAAAAGTTCTTTTCCCTCTTAGATTATAAATTCCATTCGCTTTTTTTTATAATATCATAGTAGCATCCATGATTACGAATTTCAACACTCAGATGATTTTATTTCAACAGGGAGTTGTTTTTGCCTAAAATCACACTCACATCCCCCCCCCCCCCCCCTTTTTTTTTCTCTTTCCTTTCGTTTTTTTTTTTCCCCTCCATTTTTCCACTGGCACGTCTGTCAAATTCAGCAGTTTGAGGCAGCAAAGTGCCGGAACTAGTTGGACTCCATTGCGTTCACATGAAGTCCTCCTCCAGTTCTTGTAATGACTTGCTGGTTGATGCTATCTCTTTATTCGATGTCATGTTCTCAGCTACCATCAAGTTTTTGTAGCTTCTTACCTCTGCTTGTCTCTCCTTTTCAAGCCTCTCTATCTCCTCCCTTCGTTTCTGCAAAATAATAGGCATGTTAGAACAAAAGCTCAAGAGACTTCCTAAACCCAATCCCACTAATTAAATCCAAGACTCCTCAATCAAAAAAGTAGCCATGCTGAAATCCTTGCTTCTATCGGGTTGGAGGACTCATGAAATTTTTTGGAGATTTTTTTATACACCAGGTCCCCTCCAACTTTCACATGTTTGGCCAAGAGCAAATAACCCACAAGATAATGGCTGTTATGCATGATGTTTACACTTAATTGTTTTTTCTCTCTTTTGGAGGTAACACACATGCACCCATGTCCCAAGAAGAACCTGAACTCTACACTTCTGCTTTGGTTGTGGCAGAGGAATACCTCTCCAGCAAGATGGGATAAACATACTTATTTATTACAAAATTTGGCACTCTCTTTCTCTTCCATTATGTTCCATTGTTTCTTCCACTTATGTAGTTAGTCCATACTGCCAAATGCCAAGTGGAGGGAAAAAAAAAATTCCATAGCATAACAAAAAAGGTCCTGGGTAAATACTAGTAGAATGAATTATCAAGGGGGAAAGTAAAAAATCTCACTGATAACTGCAGAAAGCCATCAGTATGAAAACCAAGAATATACCATGAAGGCTCTATAATTTCATTACTTTAAGCTGCAAGGATACTTGATTTGACGTCAACATCAGCAGTAGCAACAAGAAGTAGACCAATAGACCATTGTTTGTCACTGCTTCCAATTTTATAGAGTATGCACATAGTTTTTGTTAAGTGATTTTATGGCTTCCATGGCATAGATTTTATACTCTGGGGCATGGGCTTAAATCAATTCCGGGTTGTTACTAAAATAGAGTACTTGATTGTGAAGTAAATTTACCCTGTTTGGAGACAACATTTACCATCATATTCATCTAATATGGATGGGTCTCGAAGGTTAAAAATTTCAGATTTAAAAATAAGCGAATACATCCATAGTAGTTCATCAGTAGAAGACCTAATATTTTCCTGCAATGCTCTTCGCCTTCATAATAGGACTCAATTTTACAGTTTGTAGCTTCTTTAAATTCGAAAAATTCTTACTAGTAAAAATCATAGAGATCTGCTCTACATTGGAATTTGCAAGTCTTCTTCCATCATCATGTCATTTCAATCCACATGGCTAAATAATGCCAGAGTGACAATAAAGGTCCTTAGATGCAGTAGCAAGACATATCTACAATCTCTAAATTCAGAAAGAGATGTATAGCACAAAGATAGAGAATTGTCATGTCAACTCAAGGACACTAGCAGAAGTTTTCACTTAACTTATCTACATATATGAAGTATATCCCTTCCTCCCAAGATACCATATCTTGAATGATAATACGAGCAAAATATGCATATATTGAATCTATGTGATGTGCAGATCCCATACATAACATCAGTACGTATGATGCATTCTTAGATTACATTTGACTAACATCAGCCAAGAAATATGACACTTACTTTATCTCGCAGTTGTTGTTTCCTCTCTGCTCTTTCAGCTGCATTAACTGCCTCTCGCTCAGCTGCACACAAACAGATTAATTAGGCACAAAAAGGCAATTTAGTGTTGTAACACTGCATAACTCAAAAATGTACATCATGAAAAGAACAAATGTTTGTGAGGCCAGGATATACTTACACCTGGGGTAACAGTTGCTATTCTTATAACCATCAAAATATCTATTTTTATACCCGATTCAACTCAAACAAAGCTTTAGTCCCAATTTGGACGTAGACATGAATCATGTTTCTCCATTGTGCATAATTTCTTTTTATATTCAACTTAAGTCAATTCAAATCAACAAAGCCTCCTACAACCTATTTAGAGTCGGTTACATAAATCTTGTTCTCCTATTGTGCCCCATCAAGGGTCATATTATTTGTTAAACAATAAACTATCAATATTCTTTCTCACTATCTCATTCAAAATTAATTTTGCTTTACCTCTACCCATAGTTATTAAACCCGGCCCAAACATGAACTCGAACTCAACGTAGGTATTGGGTCAAAGGGTCATAGGTTCAACCAACGGGTCTACTAGTTGAACCTGCCCTATAATAAAAATTGAAAAATAATTATAAAGCGAAAAATTATGAAAATTACAAAACTAACATGCTTTATATAATTGCATCACATAAAACTAGAGGAGTGAGGTGCGGCTTAAAGAAAATAAAAGGAAGATATTGATTTATTGGATGACAAAGATTCTTTCCCTACTATATCACTCCTACCAGTGAGCAAGGCAAACGAGAGAGAGAGAAAATCTGCATACTCTCTTTTTGTGTCAGAAAACAAGCACCTTCATTGATGTCTGTGGCAAGAAGTGGATAGACTAGTGGGAGACAGCTGGAATTTATGGGGCTTGTTATTAATCAAGAGAATGAATTTGACCCGTCGGTTTGGCACAAAACTGCTGGGTCAGGCGGGTCTTTAATGGTACATTTACATAAACGATCCAAGTAATGACCCAGCCCAGTCTAGGCACCGGTTCCCTGGTTGACTGACCAAGCCGAGCCAAATTTAATAACTATGTCTCTACTTCTCCCATCAGTGCCAATAGTTATCGCAGAATTTTACTTCACTGGTGCAGTATTAGATCGTCCATAATCATATCCAAACAACCCAAGTCAATCTTTTCTTAACTTCTTTTTTTGGTGCTACTTGTACTGTTTCACTTTCACCAACTTACCATTTCTAATTCTTTCAGTAATACTTTTACCACAAAACCATCTTAAACAACCGCACTTTATCCACACTAGTTTCTCAACATATTATTGAAATGCCCAACATTTTATGCCGTAAAGCATTATCGGTCTAATAGTTGTCTAGTAGAACCTACCTTCTAGCTTAAGAGGAATTGTCGATCACATTATACATCAGCTGAACTTCTCCCTCAAATCCATCCTATTAGATTCAATGATTAACACTTATCTCCTTTTTTGTGGATAATTAATTCCACCTAAATTTTGAAAATGTTTGCTTTCTAAAATCTCTTGCTTTTCAATTTTCATCGATATTTAAATCTCCACTTCAACTAAAATATCTCTTTTTCTAGGATTCTTACTTTTCAATCCAACTGTTAAATCTAATACTTCAATTATGTTTTTCATGCATACAAAATATGAAGTTGATCATTATTAAGTAAGCCATTGACCAGTAAACTCATATCCCTCTCTTTTTTATAAGAATAAAACTTGGATTTAGAGAACGGTGTTGATGAAGCAGCCATAAACTTAACTGATTTGTTCTCGCATGCATTATGGGCATAAGAGTGGCATTTCCCCCAATGGTTCATTTTTTTCTCAAAAAGAACCTCATTAAGAATTCCAGTGGGTTTAAAGTAGACATCTTACACCAAGTGTATATAGTCGAAGTAAAAACTATAAATCATAAGCAAGAAGTGCTCAGGCATAGAACACGGAAATATTCACAAAATTACCTTTCAAATCAGGTGTTCTTTCCACCTTTGTCCGGTTTAATCTATTAACAATCTCATTTATTCGCTTCTCCACTCTCACAGTACGGACCTGAATGGAGCATCAACATTAGACAAGAATCTAACTATTACATTCATACCCAATCAAAGCCCAATGTCGAACAGTACTAGATGCAGAAACATTATAAATTCATACAGAACCTCACCATTTTTGAATTGTGGAAACTAACTTGGCCAACATCCATGGAAGCAGTCTTCTTCAAATTTTGCCAAGGGGTGTAAACAACATCAATATTGTTCACCTTGTTTCCTGCCACATAAAAATTTCAGCTAAGTCACTAATAGCCACATGATTACCTGATACAACCCCAAAATGAGTGAAATGTATGTTATCTAAGAAGGAAATGCTTTCTACCACTTGTGTTAAGCAGCAGCATGCTCTTTAATTCAATGTCATTAGCAAATTTAGAGAAAAACATCAAAAAAAGAGCACCATGCTATACTGGCAGAGCTTCAGCAAAGGGGCACAATCAACTTCCACCCGACATAAAACGGAATTGAGTTTATACTCTATGTTTTGTATATTTGCAATTGTACTGCTGGATTTCGTTGGATTCCCATTTTGTCATGGTTACAAAATTTTAGTTTAATTGCTGCCTATAGCTAACCCAACAGTTGGAGTTTGAATTTTACTTATTTAATTGAGGTTAAAAATCATGTGGCTGAAGGTGTCAGATCCATTTGATATTTGAACCTACCCCCCACAAAAAACCAAATCAATGAATTTGAATTGTGTGTTCCATTACTTGAGGAGAGGTAAACTCCCTAATTTCTTAAATAATATGATAGTCTTTTTGAAGGAAATTACTGTCGATACATAAAGTGTAATAGAACAGGAAGTCTTTTGTAGCATTTGCCTTGAATGGAATTTGCTTTGACTAATTGAGCACAATCTTCCAGTAAGCCTTCAGATATGTCATCCATAGTCTGACCCTTGTGCAGTCTCACATAAACATGGGCTGAAGACATTTTATCCACATGAAACCTGCGGTAGAATATATTCTATTATTTTAAAAAAAAAAATACATTATGTCAAGAAAGTAATACGAATTAAAGAGCTAATTAGAACAGGACATCTGCCCTTCACTTTTAAACAAATCAAAACTACACATTTTCTGCACCTTATCAAGCAAATCCGTGTGATATAAATATACATTCAAGGGATAATCATATATTTTATATACAAAAGCAGCAATTCACGGCAAAAACCCAAGATAGGTGGGATTAGAAAGAGATCTATTGTCATTAAGATCTCCATACTCACTAGCTTATAATAATAAAATTGAATTGGCTCTGCCCTCCAAAACATATTAGCCACAAAAAGGAATGCATACTAGTATCCTACATCCATTTCCTTGTGTCATTTCACATTCTTGCTTGGTATCTTGTCTAGTAAATAAATACCTATATAACAAAATTTCTCCTTTCTTGTTATTAGGGTTATCTAATTTAAGAATCTTATCTTAAGTGAAAAGCATATATCAACCCTGCTTTTCACACTTTTCATCCATGTTTTTCACACATATGCAACATTGAGCTGAGATTACAAGGTAAAGTCGGTAACTTAACCTGGAAGAAAGAAACATTTAAAGAACTTGAATGAAATTCGGGCCTTTTTGGTTCAATGTTCTTGATCTTACTCTAAGCCCTTGAGTGGGTCTTTTAGGTGAAAGTTGATTTGTCCTTCTTGCATCAGCTCCGAAGTGTTTTTTTTTTTAAATTTTCCAGCATCAAAAGATTGAATGTTTTGAAAAAGTAGACACTCCATTTATATATCTACATATAAATATACATATGTATATATCACATATCTGGAGTAAAATTTATTATATACATATACAGAATCAACCCGTAAGGAATTTTAAATTCATGTATTCAATCTTTTGATTTTTGGAACTAATTTTCAATTTAATTGAAACCACTAAATTATGTGACAATGACCCGGTCTTGGTCTATGGTGTTAGCTATTGTCCTGACAAGTTTCCACATTTTGATATATTTGCTTGGAGATAAAATTCTACCTGATAATCACTTCAACCACAAAATGTGTCGAATTGAACTTTCCCACTCCATCAGGCATCAGGTGATATAGCAAGTCTTATAATCCATGCCATGTCATTCCTACGTAAACATATCATTTCTTGGATAGCAGCAATCACCCATATAACTCTTCCCAATTACCTCAATCGACATCCCATCATACAACGTATATATCTGATGTGAGAATTTTCCAAATCTCAAATTTCGTAGCCTATAATTGGCTAAGATAATCAGAGAAGCCCACATAACCAATCTCAATAACATCATCCAAAACCCGAAAAATTACACAATTGAAATAATCGCAAAGCATACTGAGCTATATCCAAAGCTCGCTAATTTGAAAACAAACATTATCCACATCAACACACGCACAAACATATCAACATCCATGAAAACAAAATTTTCAAGATTGAAGCAGTTAAAACTATAATAAAATAAAATAAAAAGGGACAGTAAAACCAAAACTTAAAACAAGCAATTCGATAAAATTCAACTCAAGAAACGGTAACTAATCCCCCATAGCAAACAAAATAAACAGTAAAATATCAAGGAGATTCGTAGATACATATATGAGCTCGTATAGCGAAATTGAGAGATTGATGGTACCAGATATCTTCGGGGAAGCCGTATTTGATGAGCTCTTCGTTCTCATACTTGTCTAGTCCCATGAATATGACGTAGTCACCGGCTTCGGGACGGGCTTTGAAGTAGAACACCATTTTCTCTCAGCCTCGGCCCTCCCAACACAGACACAGACACACACACACACACAAGCACACAGACCCAAATTCGTTCTAGGGTTTCAACTTTCAATCAGGCTTTTTTTATTTAACGCTTTATTTGACGTAATGAATTTTTTTTCCTTTTTCGTTGACAAAACCACTCTCTAAGTCTCTGTCCTCTTAAAGAGTGTTTGGTTCATGCATCATCTGATTTCAATTTAGGGTTAATCTCATTTTGTATCTCGAAAGATTGTTCGAATCTCAATTTATATTTTCAAAGGTTAAAAATCTCAATTTATATTTCAAAGATAAAAATTTGTATCAATATGCACCCCTAAAGATCAAAAATCTTAATTTACATCCTCAAAGATAAAAATTTATATCAATGTGCACCCTAAAGATAAAAAATTTCAATTTACACCCTCAAAGATTGAAATTTGTATCAATGTGCACCTAAAACTAAATTGATAAATTATACCTAGATTCTCTCATACTTGTCACTTAATCATTTAGACCTCTTCACATTTAGAATATTACTCATACATCTTATGACATTTGTGCACGTATAACACGTAACCTATTTTCATTGATATCTATTAATATAATCGTTAAAAAATATAATTTTATCCTAATAAAAAATTATAATTTCATATTACCCTTTATTTTATGGGTTCAATATATTCTAAAGTTCAAAATCTAGTTTACCATTTGAATGTCTAATAAAATGTAAATATTTATATAATTTTTTCATATTACCTTTTATATAAATATCTACATTTTATTAGACATTCAAATGGTAAGCTTGATTTTCAACTTTAGAGTATATCGAATCCACACAAAAAAAGGTAATATGAAATTATAATTTTTTATTAGGATAAAATCATATTTTTAACGATTATATTAACAGATATCAACGAAAAGTGATTATGTGTTACACATGCACAAACGTCATGAGATGTAAGGGGAATATTCTAAATGTGAAGGAGTTCAAATGATTAAGTGATAACACGTGAGGGGATCTATGTATAATTTATTAATTTAATTTTATGTGCACATTGATACAAATTTCTATCTTTGAGGGTACAAATTGAGAATTTTTATTTGGGGATGCACATTGATACAAATTTTTATCTTTGAGGGTGTAAATTGAGATTTTTGATCTTTGGAGGTACAAATTAAGATTTAAACAATCTTTTAGGGTCAAAATGAGATTAACCTTTCAATTTATTGTGGTAATTCAAAAAAAAAAATGTTTAATAGCAAATTGAATTCTGAAAGATTGTTTAAATTTTAATTTATACCCTCAAAAGATTAAAATTTTTAATTATACTTTTAAAATATAAATTTATATACGCACTGAAACAGCTGTCAGCTTATCATTTAAAACTAAATGGATAAATTACATCTAGACCCCCTCATATTTGTCACTTAATCACTTTTGTTCAAGTGATGTATTACAT